ATAATATTTAATTACCAAGTTTATTAAATTGTCAACTTCCGCATCTGGTTCGTCTGCACAAATTATACCAAAAATAAATTGTTTTTTATTCAATGAGTAGTTGATATGAAAAATTTGGGTTAACCTCTCAAAATTATGAAGCAATCTTTTAACTTCTTGGCAGTCCCATAGAATGTGTTCAATAGTTTCCCGATGTGTTTTACAGAAAGAGCAAAATGAATTTTCAACTAATCCCATTTTAAATACAAGAGAGTTAGTAGTTAGAATGTGATGATTGATCCTGTACTGAAACCATTATAGTTTAGAGTTTTTAGTGATTCGGAAAGGAAGTTTATAGATCTGTTTCCATGACTCCTCACTGATAGTATAATTTTCCCACTTTTGTTTGCCAGTTGGTATAACATTGTTTTTACAAAGTATATTGTACATGTCTTTAGCTCCTTTCTTACTTTTAAGTATAATTATTAAGTTCAATGGGATATATGGGTACGGTACTGATATATGTGTATTAAATTGTTGAAATTGATGGAGGTCTTTTGAAATTACAGATACTAAGCCCTGGTATTTTAGAAAATTGCATCGTATATTTGTTTGAACAATTTTGTACAAAGAACAAGATGCATAATGTATAAGCTATTAAAACAGGCTGCATTATAAAGTTTGTAATGTGTATATATGTATACATGGGTATTGCATACTTATGAGGTACTCTGACCATCAATCCTGAGTACTTGTATATATATAGCCAGACCTTTGTAAAGGAGAGGCAAAGTGTATGTGGGTAACATGTGACAGACAATATTCATTATCTAGCAACTCATTTTAGCTAGATATAACTGTTGTTGGTCATAGTTATCGTCAATAAAACAGACCAGTTACTTGACATCATACCCAGTTTCTTATCAGTTTCCGCTTCTCCAGTTGCCATCGGCACATAGCCCTTCTTCATTATTACATCAGCAAGATCCTTTAAAAAACAGGGAAATGTTAATAAAAACAATTTGCATTTCAAGCACAAATAAAACATTCATTCTTGAAATTTTGGTTATGTACATGCATTAATTTATTAAAACAAACAAATTTGATACCCGTCATATAACTTCTCATTTTAATATTAGCGCTCACCATTTACATATACTTCAAAACAATTCACTGATTGAAAGAAATTTTTTATCCATATACCAGAAATATCAACAGCTGTTTCTTTTTCAAATGGCTTTAGTGGAATACAAACGTCTTTTTTGGTAGCCACAAATTGAAATATCAAAACTGGCCAGATACTTCAAAATAAAATGTATAATAATGTTTGTAATAACTTGATAATATAAATGTATAAGCTGGACTTATTAGGAAGACAATGAATAATGTAAAACAAATTATGTTGAGTCATCAAGTTATGAAAAATAATGTTACATACATGTGAAACTTAAAATAGACAAATTAGAAGAAATGAAACTTAAGGAAAAAAGTGAATTACTTTTTGTGCTTTGAACTTGTGTAAGTCTACAATCAGTACTTAGCAAAGACAATGATATATTCTTTGAACATATTTATATGAAGAAAATGTTTTAAGAATCCTTCATCAAAATATCTATATATAGCATTAGCAGATACTGGAAGTTCTGCCTTGGAGCAAATTTCTGGTACCTAAATATGTTATGAATATTTATGACTAATTTGGAGAAAAAAACAGTTGAAATGCTGACAGACAATAGAGGTTAACAAAGTTGGCAGCTTTGTATTGCCAACCTGTAAGTTAAGTTTAGAACACTGTCGTGAAGGTAATTTTAGCTGCATCCTCTTTATCATATATAGAGTTTGCTTCCCTTTACACTTCTATAACAAAACTATCATACATGATGTAGGGTGTTGATTCCTCAAGTGGTCATTATTTCATTACGATGTCAAGATCTAAGTACTTGTGAAGGTCATCATATGTACCTGTTACTAAGTCATTTTGTTGATATTAGCTTAAGGGTTTGTCTATATCTGTCCTAGGTTCCAATATGACCAGGACAATTTAAGCACCATTAATCAAGTATAAGTGCATAATAGGGTCATGTCTAAAGTGATACAGGTCGCTGACCAAGTAGTTACGGCCATCAGACTGATACGGAGCCTAAGCTTTAATACCAAGATGATAAATGGCTGTACCAACAAATGACTGTAGTAATAACCCTGAATTATATATACTGGTAAGTTTTTCAATACAATTGATAAATCACTGCAGGGACTAACCTAAATTAAGTGTTTTAATACACGTAAAATTTAGAATGTCATTTACCCGACGGTAATAGAAAAAGTAAATATCCTTTTATAAACATCACAACATACTCAAAATATATTTGATCAATTTATAAAGATATGAATATAATAAAGGTATTGGTGTCTGTGTGAACTTATCACTCGAGCTCACCAGTTATTTAAAAGTAACAAGAAATTTTATTTATTTACTTAGTTTTTTAACACATTTGACCTCTGTGACCTTGAATATTCATTTTCATGTTAACAATTGAGCTCAATTCAAGTATCATGAGACAATTATTACTTTGTAATGTTAGATAAACATGATAATGTGACATCTTTTATGCATTTAGGTAGCATACATCCTTAAGTCTTAATTTAGTTTTAAATATATAACGACAGGTTATAATTTCAAGTACCAAGTATATGTTAAAAGAATTATTGTTTACCTCCGGGTCATGGTTGCATACAGAATCTTTGGAGCAATCGCCCGTGTCCTTGAAGGATGAACAAAGTCCTTCAGGTAGATCAGCATTGGTGTCATCTGTCATTAAAAAAAACAATTTTAATATCAGAATTATCATTCAAATGATTACATACATTATGCATTACATCACTACATTACCTATCCCTTTTAATCTAGCATGTTTTAGATAGGAAGATTTGAAGTGGTAGCAATGGAATTTGACATTGCCTATATTTGGGTTTTTATTATCAACATTCACCACAGAAGTCAACATAAATATTGTGTACAATCCTGGGATCAATATAGACTTAATTCACTATCGTTAAGGGGTAGTCCCCTATAGAAGAAAATTCCCCTGTTCTTATAAATTCCGCCGATGTGCTTCAAAATTCAGCTATTTTAATAAGAATAAAACTAGTGAAAAGTGCTATATATTTGAGAGACGGGTGGCATTATTCAAAATGACATTCACATATTCTTATATACCATCAAGTAAACCTAACGAATTAGATTGTTATCTACAATTTGCTTCTTGTTTATACAGACCAGGTACTTATGCTATGTTATATAAACATGAACATCATTACCAAATAACTGATTAATATTACAGCAGAGGCAGATGCATGATTGTTCTATAACGGGAAATTACAAAGTGCCTGCCTATGATTAAAAGAGATTGGGACAAATTGGTTGTTTGAAACTAGTTGAAACTAGTAGAATGTTTGTAGGGAAGTTGAAAGACATGCAATAATCATTAGATCATATAATGATGCTGATGATATGGCACCTATTGGTTGTTTGAAACTAGTTGAAACTAATAGAATTCTTGTAGGGAAGTTTTAAAAACATGCAATAAACATTAGATTATAATGATGCAGATGGCACCTATTGGTTGTTATTCAATGGCTGATCGAGATGATCATTTTTTCCTAAAGTTAAAACTCATATTATTTAGTCTTTGGGGACAATTGCATCATAAACTGGCAAATGCTAAAGCTATTGAAAGTGGCTGATAATGAAATGCAATATTCAAATTCCTCAGTAATATATTCCAGGTTAAAACTGTTAATGAAATTTTAGTTTTACAACTTCATCATGTATTGAAACATTGAAGCACACACTTTAGACAAAATCTTTCCTTTTTACTATATTCAGAAATAAATAATTATACCAAAGGGAAAACGTCCAGTTATCTTTTCATCAATGACTGATCCAATCAGGATTAGATAAAGCTAAGACTCAGTAATGTCTATTAATCATTTACTGTTATAACTCCATTTCAACATTTACTGTTAGTGTTATAAATCCATTTCAACTGTTCAATGTAAATTTCGTGATTTCACATGTTGGAAATCATAAAAAAAGGCGAAATTGAAAAAAAACAATCAACCAACAGTTGTTGCAGTTGACGCTCGTTAAATATGTGTGAGTGTAAATGTTTGTTTACCACACTGAGAGGCGACTTCTCCCACAGCCAGGAAAACATTGGACTGAAGTGCTGTCAACTGTGGTACGAAGTTGACGGGTTTCAGCGCACAAATACTGCATGATTCTCCTTTTACTGGCTCGAGTCCCTTCACTTCAAACACCTGAGTAGTCCCATCTTCGTTCTCCACTTGAACGTTTGCAATTCCACAAGATTGCTCTGCATGGTTACTTAAAACGATGCATGCAAACACAAACAGAAGTAGTTGGACCGCCATGTCATCAACTAATCCTACCTCCGTATGCTGAAGAGCTCTCAGCCATGCCCAGCTTCTGAACTTTAGCACGGACTTTGATAGCCACAGTAGCTATAGGTTCGAGATAATGGACCGGGCTGGTGATAGGCTTAACGTCATTTTGCTACGAACAAGCAAACATCCTGAGAATTTTCTTCAAAAATTATGTGTTTTCACCATTTTCCTCAATTTTNCCCCCCCCAAATAGGTCTCTGGATCCGCCACTGTATTTCTGTATTTCACGTCTCTGGCTACCGACAGTAATTCAGTCTAGTATGGATAAAGCAAGACATATATTCACATTTTTATTCTAACAAACATTTGATAGGCCTAGTCTGCCCATAATATATACATAATTATATTCCAATTTTGTATTTCATAGCTCTATTTTTTCTAAACGCGATATTTTTCGGTTGATTTCTCCAGTGTTCATCTATTTCATGCTCAGATAGTGTATCTGTCATTGCGTTCACTACATTCGGTAGAAGCACGGAACTTCATAGACTTTGTTTATTGTACAACAATTAGGATTAATCATTCTTGTTGGCCCGGCTGTTAGCGCCCAGGAAGTCTTAATGTTGGAGGAAACTGTCGGGAACCCGGAGAAAACCCACGTGGTCGGGCAGGTGCCCCCATAACATTTCACGTCCGATCGGCGAATCGAACCCCGCGGCCGCCTTGGTGAGAGACAATAAGCGCGCTATATCCACTGCGACATCCGATCATCCAACTGAGCTAATCTAATTGCGTGGTGGGATGTTGTGCATGAATAAACAATTTCTTAGATTAAACCGCGAATACCCTTCATATATTTTCCAGTTATGGACTCGTGTGTTTGAACCTTCTTTATTTTTTTTACAAGTATGTCTGTGACTTCCATTATTAGATATTTTCCGTGTATGATAAATTTGAAAGCCATGGTACTTGTTTCGTTGCTCGACCTTGAACATTTTCTATTGCTGCATGCTTTTCTAAATTGGGACACCAAACGTGATTTGCAAACTCTAGCTATATATGACCATAATTTAATTTGCTTTATTAATATATTTGCATATGTGTAAGCTTATCAAATGTTAGATCAACATCTATGGGGACTCCGATAACTTTTTCCGACTCCACGAATTGTAATGGTTACTCTATCCGACAACGTCTGTGTTTCACACATGCATCATTTTACATTTGTCCGGAGGCATATGATTTATGTATAATAAAAACAGAAGTGGTATCAGCACTAATCCCTGTGGAATACCACTTAATACTGGATTCCATTGAGACGTTTCTCCGTTCACAACGACACTTTGTTTCCTTCCAAGCAAGAAAACTTTTATGTGAACGTGTTTGATTATGATATTGTGTGAAAACGGAATGGAAGAATCTGTCCATGGTCCGTTTGAGTGATATCCTCTTTTTTGAGTTAACAAACAAATTAAAAATATTGTCTGTTTTGGTTGTTTTTGAATTTGCGTATTTTCAGAACTCTTTTGGATTTTCCTTTACTTGTGCTATTTTCATCTCATGTAGTTTTACTGCCTTTCTGTGAAGTGTCCTTACTTGATTTCTTACCTGGCAATATTCAGCATAAACTTTATAACCCCGTGAACTTTATAATTAGAAACCAGTTCCATTACCTATAGGCTTTCTTTTGATTTCGTCATTTTATCGAGACGCGTTTTGTTTTCACTATCATTTGGTTTTCGCGGGGACTTCATTTGCTCTGTCAGAATTGTTTCTTTCTTTGATATTCCAATAATACTTTAAAAATTGCTCAACATCTTTCTTGCATTCCAAGAAACCATTTTGCCAGTTTATATCAATTTTCCAAGAAAGTTCCTGAAAATTATCTTTCTCGTACAAATACCGATTTTTTTTTCAAATTCAATGCTCAATTCACAGCGTGAATCAACTACTGAATGGTCACTCCAAAGGAGGGTTCGTTTGTACAGTTTCAATACAATCGTCTTTATCGGTTATATCATCGACACCGGGATTATCCGCGACCCTCCCTCTTTTCGGATTTCACTTGATTTTGTTCTGTATGTAGACATCGATGCGTGGGAAAGTTTGGCGATTCTTTCGAGTTAATAAGGGGTATCATATATATTCGGACAGGAACATTTTATCTTATTTGTTTTTGGTTCGACTTTCGAAATGGCGATGACGACTGGATTATCCTGTAATATACTTTTTTTATTAATGCATCTTATGTTGGGTGAGAGAATCTGCATTTGTGAATATGATACTTAAGGTGGCTCCACACATCGTCATCAGCGTTCATTTTCGTGACGTACTTCCGGAAAAAGTACTCGGACTCAATTATCTTGATCGAAATGTGCATGTACACCGTGTCGTCATTTCCGTATTGCGTATCGGGCATTCAATATCGTAGTGCAAATTATAGTAACACCTGGGCCGTTTTCGTTTAAACGGTCAAACCGATCGGACCACTGTTGTTCGTTTATTAAATAAGGTCGGACCTAGTAATCTGATGCTGCTTTCAGGCGAGCTTGCAAGGCCTGTATACACATTTGCAGGTCCGCCAGGATTTATACCCGAAATCGTTACATTTATAAACGGTCAAACCGGCTGCTCCGCATAAACGAACAGGCCCCTGGTAAACAATAGTACACGTGCGTGCCGATGATATGTCAACACCCGATATCGAGATTTTACCGGGAAATGTATAATCACACGTACTTCAGGAATAAAGCTTTCCAATTCATAGACATAAACAGACTCACGGGAAGACAGTGACATGAGACCAGACGACCTCAAGAAGGTCATATAGGAAACACATGGAATGCGGACGTACCAACCTCATATGTGCATATCACGTGCTTACACGAGTTCATAAGCTGAGGGAGTTTCGCTCTGTCGATTAAATCGTGTTTACAAATGTAGTCTACTTACTCTGTGAAAATAATGTTTTGTAAAATATCAAGATACCTATGAAATGCATGTGTGAGGGCACGTGAGAACGGCATACCATGCGATAGCCTCTGGTCACATATGTACCTGACATGTAATTATAAATATACCGTGAGTTAGCGGACTGTGGAATGATGTCCAAAGTGTACATGACTGAGGGTAATTTGGTTCCATTAAAGAACAATAAATTGATAATTTTGATATCATATTTTTGATTTATTTCCATCATTTTTGTTATATGTAAACAGAGACAACTGTCATTGTGTAAATGTCACCCCTCTGCAAAAAGTTCCGATTTTTTTCAAGGAAGATAACTCTCACCCGGATCAAAGTGATTGTAAAATGTAAAATAAATTAATTATAAAGCCATTGTGTATATTTTGTTCAATTTCCCACTCTATATGTATAGAACTTTGTGTCCTGGGTGCTTTTAGCTTGTAGATAATCACTTTTATCCGTACAAATTCAATAAAAAACACTTTGTGTAACATGTGTTACATATTTTGCGATAAATAAAGTATTTGTAGGGTTAATTAGAAATGCTTCTTTTCATTCTATTATTGTTGTTATTGTTCCGAACAATGTCACACACAGAAAAAACCGGAAAATATTAAAATTGACGAAAATTCAATTTTTTAGTATTTTTTCCAAAAAAGTCCCCAAACCATCGGAGTGTTTAGATTTTCATAAAATCAACTCTACATAGTTGCATAACCATTATATGAAAGTTTCAACGAATTTTGCTGGTTAATTGCGAAAGTGTGGAGCCACCTTAATGCGCATAATCTTTTGTCGGAATATTTTAATGAGTTTGCTCTTTCTTCACCTTTATTGTGCTTAAGTCCGACGACTTCGGGCAACGTATTTTCGTGCCCCCGATTTTTTTAGCCTTATTCATTTTTATTTAGTTGACTTTCTCTCCTCCTGTATGGGTCATATCATTAGGGACACTTACTCTTTTAATTGTGTCTTCTGTTTCGTCGGCGAGGTTTTTCAAAATGCTCATTTACATAGTTTTGACTTGTTGACTTGACTGACCGTACTTTGGTACTATCTAGTTTCATACCCTTTGCTATATCATGTTCTTATTCGACGTTCCATGAATGAACCGTCTTTCTGTTTCCTAGCTTCTGGATTTTCAGAAGCAGCCTCCTTGATGTTCACGGAGTCAAGTAATTAGAAGTCCGGATGTTTTGATTAGGTTTCAGAATAAGGTTCCACAGTATTCACAGGAAATGTATACAACGGCACCGTAAATAACCCACCCCACTCGTATTAACTACTATTAACTGTATGGGACTGGAAAAAAACTACTGATATTGAAATATATTGACAAAATATTAACTGGTATATATTTATCCGTTCTGATGTTTGCGATAAACAATGTTATTAAAGCCATATGGGTAGGCTAAAGGAAAGACGCCCTTTCTGCTACACAATGCGACATGAGTGCTCAGTACCAATATTATAGTTTTGGTTATGCACGTCATCACATTCTGAGGATCCCGGACGTCATAAAACCATGACGTCATTTACGCCAATATGACGTTGACTTTCCAAAATGGCGGACTTCACTTCCTGATTATCGGATTTTCATTCACTAACATTCAGCTTTCCAAATATGGGTTGTCCGGAGATAGAAATGAACGAAGGGTCAAGGCAGATGACCGCGAAACTGTCCGGAGTGTTGAATACGTTTTGTGTTTTGCCGTCACTGATAGTTCTTTCTGTGGGCGCATATATACAAGTGGCCATCCAGGAGCAAATAAGTATGATTGAAGGTTTCAATGGTGACGTTTTACCTGCCTTCATGATTATTTTTGGATTTTTTGGTGCAGTTATCTGTTTATTTGGTGGTAAAGTATGCTGGACAAACCAGCAATGTTCGAAAAGAATGGATTGGAGCAAATATTTGTTTCCACTTGTCATTGTCGAACTCATTTTAGCCATTTTCTTTTTCGTGTCGGCTATTATGTGCTTTATTCAGATTTCAATGTTGGATTCATCTTTCGAAAAGGGTCTTTCATCTGCGATGCGTAGCTATAAGAATGACAGGGTGAAGAAAATTGAGCTAGACAATCTTCAAATCAGTTATAAATGTTGTGGAGTCAGGTCATATACTGACTGGTTCCATGTCAGTTGGATCCACGAGGAGTACATATCAGAAGAAAAGAAAAAGTTGTTGGCAAGGTAACATTCGTTCGTGCTCCGCTTATATCGCAAACAATTTCTATGCCAATGTTCTAATTAAATCTACATTATATCTATATTTTTTAAACTCCCATTTGCAACTCATTAAAGGTAGTATCTTGACATATCATAGCATGGAACCGTCTCATTTTCACTTTATTTGAAGAACGCAGAGTAACTTATTAAATTTAAACTAAGTAGATCTAGGCATAGATATGGTGGAGTATTAGGGCCACTTTTGTGTTGTTTTTGTTTGCTTGACTGAGGATTTTCTTTGCCTGGTCGTCGCGACGATAAAGCAAAAAAGGTGGCCTTTTTTCCTGAAATGGCGTTTTTTCCACAATGACAAAACATAAAAGTGCTGTATCTAGTGCCAAAAAAGTAACAAAAAAACGCAGTTATATTCTAGAAATGAAGTTTTCTCCTATTTGCTATTTCACGACGAAAAAGCGTTCTTTTTTTGGGGAAAAAAACGACGCTTCCTTCGATTCCCAATCTCAGCTCAATGAGCTTTTTTCTCTTAACCTGTTGACCCTATCATATACATAATGTTATGTTAACGTTAGACGTATCATACACAACGAGTGAACAGGGTAAGAGAAAAAGAATCATTCGGCCCCTGAGGTTAGATTAGGAATCTCAACCCTCGGGGAACGATTCTTAAATTGTCAAACACTCGGCAAAGCCTTTGTTTGGCTTCTTTAGAACCTTTTCCCTCCGGTTGAGATTCCCATATCTTAACCACAAGGGGTGAGCTATTCTATTAATCTTTCAAAGCCCCGGGCATGACTTTTAAGAATATTTCCCCGAAGGTTGAGATTAAACCTTGATCCTAAATGATTATTTTCCTCTAACAACAAATACCAGAGGTGAATTCTTGAAATGCATACGTTGATTTCATAATTTCCCCCTGTGTTTCTATAGTTACACTGCAGACGGTTACCTGAACGATGACGTGCCATTCAGCTGCTGTGTTGCTGACGTGTTACGCCCGTGCATTCACCATCACGTGCACGACAACGATATGCATTATAACTACGACTACCGCGCCAAGGTGACGCTGTACAGCGTGGGGTGCAAGGACGTGCTGTTGGATATATACGGCAACCGCCTACTTACAGACGTCGGAGCTCTCGTTTTGTCCATTTCGTTCATACAGGCACGTATTCCGTATTTTTTTTAAATCTGAAAGTGGAAACATAACAGTTCGATTTTGTTCGGCGTAAGGTCTCTAGCTGCATGGTAACCATCGTTTTGAAATAAATGTATCCACGGTTGTTCGTAGGTCCAAGTGGTATACTGTCATGAACAGATAACATGCTATATTACCAATCTATTATATCAATTGCTATTGTCAAGTTAAAAAATTAATCAAAGTGTAGGTTTATATTCGAAAATGTTGCAAAAACTTGTGAATTCGTAGCTAATATTTATTTTGTTAACATTCAACATATGTAACAATAAAATGGCCTGTTTAGTGGACGTCTCTCCTTGTGTGTTACAGATGATAACAGTGGCGGTGATGCGTCTGCTGCAGACGTCAGTGGACGGATCACTAGAGAACGATGACCCTGAAGATCCCTCAATCGGGTACATCTTCCCATGCAGCGGCAAGGTCGCCATTAAAGCTGTCCAAAGAGGTAAATATTATATACATTTATCAACAGCTGGCCAATCTTGTCACATTTGATTCTTTTCTGTAACGACGAACAGTCCACACCAGAGTTCTTGATTAGTAAATGTCTTTCCATTTCATGAGATTGGTGAAACTTGTCGTCTAAAAGCTTTCATTTTAGTAATGCTAGACAAAGTGGGTTTTTTGGTTCCGGAGTTACGGGTCTCATTTTTACCAAGTTTATTTTTACACAATGAAGTAGAGCTGGACACGATACATTTGACCATATAGTATCGTATTCATTTTCGGGTCATTCCATCCATGGCCATTGAAGGATTTTTTTCTGCAACATGACAGACTGTTTGATTTCCTCCCGTTATTATTGTACCGTGTCTGATATCTCTACCAGCTAATTCACGAGATTGTTGTATATGGTAAGAGGTAAATACCCTTTCTCTTTTCATGTTATTTCCTCAAATGTCAAGATAATTCAAATCCAAGTTGATGAATTCAAATTGATGGTTTCCGCTCCTTATTTTCTATACCATCTTCACAAAACTAAGTCAATGGTGAGAGTTTGCCGATAATTCTGTTTCGGGTGGCTGTTGTTATGAACGGTCACGACCATTCAATGGTCAACTGGCTGATGATTACCGCTCAATGAATTCAGTTTTTAATGCCATCTTTGCAAAACTCCAGAAGGTTGTAGTTCTTGGCCAAAGGTACACGCATTTTCATTTCGAGCCAATCTATCCAAGGTCAAGGTCATTCGAAGTTGATTCTTTTCACTAAGTGTACTCGTATGCTGTTGATTAGATAGACACATATACTTTTGGGAGCCTGTTTTCAAGGTCGAGGCCACTCAAGTTTTTTCTTCTTTATCCGATAAGAACCTCTCCATAACTTCTATTTTTATAACCACAGGGACATAACAATTTGTTGAAGTTTAGCTTTGTTTGGACCACAATTGATTAGTTCAGGATATATTACACATTTTGGGGTTAGGAAACGTCTGAGAATTGAGGTCACACACATATCCAAGCTGTAACAAATTCTCAGGTCCCTGCCTGTGCTTTTAACCTGGTCAACAATTATTTCTGAAGGACACCCCTTTTTTCTAGCTGCAATCTCTGCCATATGTAAATATTCTGTCTGGCGGCCCACAGATCGGCTGTCAAGATATATAAACTGGTTAGTTGAGCTAGACATTATCTGAAACTAATCCTATTTTTGTGTTTATTATGCAATATATAAATGTCGTTTGGAGTAAGCTTTGGACAAATGCCCTGAAACTAAACAGGGTGTAGATTGAAGATAATCAAAAATCTATTTGATCTCCAGAGGTGAAAACGTTCCACAAAAAGGACAGGAATGCGACCAATGGTATTCCTGGGGACCCCACCACAGAGCCCCTCCTCGAGGACAAGGATGATAACAGCAGTATTGATACAGACAACATTTCACTCAATTCTTCCTTTGAAGATGAAGGTGTTTACGAGGAAAACCCTCCTCCTGCACCAGAAGAAAATCTGTACACGACCATTAACTCTGCAGAGATGCTGAACTATCCAGAGTCGCCACGATACACATCCTTCTCAGGTATTGGAGGTCAAGTTCCAGCCCCTGACCAATACCCATCTGGTCAGAATGGAATACCTAGCCACCATGTGATGAGCAATGACCCAAATGGTCAATATGGAATGGTCAGCAACCACATGATGGGCAGTTCTCAACATGGAATGCCAAGCAACTACATGATGGGGAGTGACCAACAGGGAATGGTCAGCAACCACATGATGGGTGCTGAGCCGTACGCAGCATCGAGCACCTACATGGCCCCTCGAAGAACCCTCACCTATGTGAATGAGCTACGACAGGAAGGAGACATGACAAAAATGTAAAACATCAAGATATATATGTGAAATTCTGTTAAAACAGACCTATACTGAAATAAAAATGAACCCTTTATAAAACAGAAATAAAATACAACTAGATGACATCATGTAGTTTTACACTTTTATTGAATGAATTTCATTTACTGATACAACTATATCACACAGTGACACTCTCTCCCATACACAAGCATGCCTTTTCATAAAACACCTGGATTTGTCTCCTCTCTCTCACATCACTTCTCTCTCTCTCTCTTCTAGTCCTACAGACAGTCGCTGGACTACATAACTAACATATAGGTGGGTAATGTACCGTACAGATCAAACATATTTATAAACAGTTAACAGACATGATATATGAGATTGTCAAATAATAAACAGCCCAAGTATAGAAAAAGAAATTCCATTAAAATCAGCTACAATATCATATGTTCATTCCTGGAGGATGTTGACTTGTCAAGTTTTCAATTCTTTAACTTGTCACATTATAATATCTTGTCTTCAACAAGAGGCCACCCTCAGGAAGTCCAAAATGTGGTCTCTTTACACAAATGACCTCTTAATACAAGTTCAGTTCATGATGACATGACTGCTATGGGGAACATTTAAAGTTGTCTCCTAACAAAGGTGGTCACAGGAACAAGTTTGACAGCATCAGGTTTACAAACCCAACACAAAATTGATTTTGAAAATTAACATACATTTAAATTTGTAAAACAAGGTTAAGTATTGTGAGCATACCATATCCAGATCAACTCTAGTACAGTAAATGGATTAAAGCCCCTAACTCTGTATATAAAAGGGGGGTTGGGGGTGGGGGGTGGGCACCAGAACCAATTTCAGTATGCATCACAAAGCCATATCTTGAGTGACAGAGTATAGAAAATATGCCCTGGACAAATTGAGGCATGGAAGGATGGATACACTGACTAACTGATTAAAGGAGAGCAAATTTAAACCAATAATTCCCAGACCCAATCAGACCAGTTTTATCACAAGTTCCTTCTCTGCAAAAAGCAATGAAAATGAGAGTTTAAGTGGGAAGGAATCTAAATGATAATTTTTATCTAATATTTACCATTACAGTAAAACATATTTACTACCAATACAATTATTACAAATCCCCGCTTCATAACAAAGTCACATTACATTGTGACATATCCAAGAACACCAGATTCTAGAACAAGCAAACTAGTTTTTCAGTCCCTCTGGGTGTGTTATTACCATGCTTGTCGCACACCATATCAGTTGAACAACTTTGAATTTAATTTTCATGTAGTGCTTAATTTTCCCTTGGAAGTTTATAGAAGATTAAATTGTTTTTTGCCGGAAAAATTCAGTCAATTTTATTTTGCCATCATAATTCTGAGGTTCAAATCACATCCAATAATTCAACAAAAGATGGTGCTCAAAATAATTTTGTCAATTATTTGAGACATGATTTAAAATCTTGAAATGCAGTTGATATTTCTGTTTCTCTATCTCAAAAAGGGTGAGTAAATTTATTAAGTCTCTGTGCCATGAATTACTATAGTAGCATGAAAAAATGGAAATCACATTTTTGTACCCATCCACAAATACATCTTTCTCTCAGAAAATCCAGTACAGTTACATACATGTCAACTAGGGTAAAATTGATTCCCTTTAAACAGTAACACTGACAGTCAGCACTAAGATGTATACCACTAATCTATATACAGTTTCATATGTAAAGGATAGAAAAGACAGACATGATCACATGACATTACTGCATAAATATCCTGCAATAAGCCCAGGGGGCCTACACATAATATCTCGCTTACAGTAGGGGAATGGTTTACAACAGAACAATGATATAGCTTTTGTTTGCATTTCTATTGAACTGCAGTTGATGTAGGTAGGCTTATTACCAGGCATGGGTTTATTGCCAGATAAATACAGTAGTGCTGTGTATTTGTGAGGTGGAATGTATTAATTATAAAAACGAAATCTAGGACCTCGTGTCGCTGACAATATAGGTACGCATTCTCACATGCTCACATTCTTATCAAATATTATTAAATGAAGTGCACAAATTTTGATGTAAAATTGTACAATTGTACACGATAATATGATGATATGCATTTATAAAACTTTATACAATCTAATAAATGTTCAATGAAGTTTTTAGTGTATGTTCATGAGTGACAATTCAGCTGTCGAACATATATGTAATAAACACTCATCAAAGTGCAATAAATGTAAAGCTCAACATAAAAAGACATTGATTACAGCATATTAAATAGTAAATCCATTTACAAACTGTGATCATATTACTCTTAAAATGACATTTTCCGTTAAAATGTAGGACCAAACATCCACCTAAATGACCAGAACAGGACCCAATGTCTGACAATGATAAAAAGTACTTAATTTGTTCTTAAAAGACTGTTCTAACACTGCTGTTAATTTTATCATTTGTACATGTACAAACATCAGTAGAAGTTAGGGTAACTGGGAAATTTCCCTAAATTGATGTTGGATCTTTAATTTCAATGAAACTAGTTCATTAGAAACTGTCTAGACTAGTCAAAATGGTGAAGTATTAAAAAAGACCAATTAAAAAATGGTTTGAAAAAAATGAGGACGTTTTAAAAAAGGGCATGACAAACTGATAAGTGTACAAAGTTTCGTTGAAATCAGTATATATTTTATTTTTAGAAGGAGAGGTACAGACAAATATTGTCAATGGCAAGACATGACCAGGAGATTCCAGTATCCCACTAACTTCGTTGCATGGGATATAACAATGAGTTTTGTGGTCTTGATCAACAGTTAGCGTGAACATGAAAATTAGATGAGATGCACATTTGTATAACAGTTTTGGTTCCGATCAATATTTGGCATGGACTTGGAAAATTGGTTCCGATCAATATTTGGCATGGACTTGGAAAACAAGATTTATTATCTCCTCTCAGGACCATAAAGCTCTGATCCATATAGCTAGTATTGATCAGTATGATCAATAAAACCTTAACCCTGAAAATATGAGAAAGGGTAGAGAAAAGAAGTATAATTTTACAATCAATGACACAAATATGTCTTCACAGACAGATATTCAGGCAAAGTTCTTTGTGAATTTTAAAATATTTCATATCATTGCTAGGTTTATCTGGTTAAATAAGGCAAATAGTTTGCATTGATGTATCAGATCTTAAGAATTACTTGACCTACTTTTAATGTAGTTCCAACATTGATTTATAATCCAATGTGTTCAGTATGTAAATCTGTTATCTACAGACCAAATGGTTCAAAACAATTAAGGTTTTCCTAATAATCAAATCCCTGTATATATGTACAAGATATTGCAGGGGTAAAGGTTAAAACAGAGTGACTTGTATCTCAACAGAGATATCCAGTACACATAGCATACTTACCTAACCTATTGTAGACATAGGGACTTAGCTTGAAGACAAAGTAAACCAATTTCTGGTCTTACAGTTTAACAATAAAGGCAAAAGGGTTATTTCAAGGATTCTTTCATGATCATCTGTAGTTACAGAGAGCTCAATTCCTACTGATGATGTGAACCCTAGTTACAGAGAGCTCATTTCCTACTGATTATGTGAACCCTAGTTACAGAGAGCTCATTTCCTACTGATGATGTGAACCCTAGTTACAGAGAGCTCAATTCCTACTGATTATGTGAACCCTAGTTACAGAGAGCTCATTTCCTACTGATGATGTGAACCCTAGTTACAGAGAGCTCAATTCCTACTGATTATGTGAACCCTAGTTACAGAGAGCTCATTTCCTACTGATGATGTGAACCCTAGTTACAGAGAGCTCAATTCCTACTGATTATGTGAACCCTAGTTACAGAGAGCTCATTTCCTACTGATGATGTGAACCCTAGTTACAGAGAGCTCAATTCCTACTGATTATGTGAACCCTAGTTACAGAGAGCTCATTTCCTACTGATGATGTGAACCCTAGTTACAGAGAGCTCAATTCCTACTGATTATGTGAACCCTAGTTACAGAGAGCTCATTTCCTACTGATGATGTGAACCCTAGTTACAGAGAGCTCAATTCCTACTGATTATGTGAACCCTAGTTACAGAGAGCTCATTTCCTACTGATGATGTGAACCCTAGTTACAGAGAGCTCAATTCCTACTGATTATGTGAACCCTAGTTACAGAGAGCTCATTTCCTACTGATGATGTGAACCCTAGTTACAGAGAGCTCAATTCCTACTGATTATGTGAACCCTAGTTACAGACTCATTTCCTACTGATTATGTGAACCCTAGTTACAGACTCATTTCCTACTGATTATGTAAACCCTAGTTACATACTCATTTCCTACTGATTATGTGAAACCTAGTTACAAAGAGCTTCATTCCTGCTGATTATATGAACTCTAGTTACAGAGCTCAATTCCTACCCATTATGTGAACTCTTATTAATTAAGAGCTCAATTCCTACTTATTATGGGAACCCTAGTTACAGAAAGCTCAATGTTTACTTATTATGTGAACTCTTAGTTACAGATAGCTCAATTTCTACTGATGACGATGATAAAACATTTGGTTAACCAATAGACTTGTGGATTGTTTTTTAACAATAATTATACGTATACCTTGGCCCACAAGATACAGCCTACACAAAAAGTGGTAGCAGTCAGAACATTCATTATCACAGATGTGTTGACAAAATACTGACACTGTTACAGTCCTAACATATATACTGGTAGCTTAAATATAGTCTATTCCCAACACTTTCCAACTGTATTATTATTACATGTAGACATTACTATTTTTCTTTATACTTTCCTGGGTAATTCAGTTCGCATGAAAATTGTGAACAATTTGTTAGATATTCCTTCTATTTCTAAGTACCTAAGAAACTACATCAAGTAGAACAGACTGTACCTGTATAGAGTATCTTACTTTCCACACACATGACATTAATGAATGAATGGTGATAATCTTTAAATCGGCATTAAAATGTCTGTACAGGGCCATTCAGGGCTAGTGAGGTGAACATATGATAAAATTAAAATTACAACATACAGTTCACGAATAACGTACACATCAACATATGAATTCCTTTTACAAGGGCAAGTCAAAGAATATTCTATGTTTATCAGTTCTTGTGTGGTGAATCTTTTGATTTTCACCAAATAATATCGATCATGTGACAAATGTATACCCGATTTTCAACATGTGACATTTACTACTTTAAAAGCTTATGTACAAACATATAACACAGTGGTGAGAGACTTTGAAACTACCCTCAATAGCACTAATTACCAGGTAATGTATACTACACTGATACACGCCAGACACACCTTACCATGATTCCTGTGTTGTTTAGGAAATTAATCAATAGCACTGAACTTGATCTTTACTCTATATACTGTAAACATATTTTAGCGCATTCAAATTTAAGCACATTATAGAATTTTAAGGTCAGCTCATTGATGAAATGGCGAAACCACATTTTCCACATTTTATTTCAAGTGCAAAAGGTGCTAAAAATATATGTAATACTGCTAATTATCTAGGTATATCTACAGTATATGCATGAGCATCTTTGACTTAAAAGGAAAGGAAAGCACTGTAAATCACAGAGATGCTCAAAGGTTTTCATACATGATTTTAATAAATCTGGGATAAAACCTTTGGGACAGCAATAGATGCACTAAATTATTTATTTAAATGATTATTTTGATAAAGTATAACTTCTAAGGTGGGGGTCAGGCTATATATTGCCAAACGTTATTGATTACGGTACTAATGAATTTTAGTCCAATTTTACAAATTCATTTCTATCTAGGCTGGTATCAAAATATAGTGATAGAGTTGATAACAAAGCTCAATCTCTAGAATTTCATTACAGACTATAAAAACATTTGGCAAAGAACTTTGGCAATACATTCAATCTGTATGTGTACAGTTAAAAGAGTAAGAACAGCTAATTGGTTCATAAGTGACAGGTACATTGTATTGGCCCTAAGCTGTCAGATGTACATTGTATTGGCCCTAAGCTGTCAGATGTACATTGTAGTTATACAGATCAAGTTTGTGCATTCTAAAGCAGCAAGTCAAGCTGACAAAAACATTTTCTACCAAATAATTATGTAGGTTTCTCCCAAATAATTATGTAGGTTTGTAGGTTTCTCCCAAATAATTATGTAGGTTTCTCCCAAATAATTATGTAGGTTTCTACCAAATAATTATGTAGGTTTCTCCCAAATAATATGTAGGTAGCACAAAAATGATGTTAAACAGCAGTCATGTTAGGGTTTAGGATTAATATATTCATTGATTGATGAGATAGCCTTGGGTTTGGCAAGTAAAGAATCTTACTCTGAAGGTTGAGATTTGCTAACATATCCCTAATGGTTCTTTTTCTCTTGCCCCAATATGACAAGTGCTTGTTTTTCTCTCACCCTAAGACAAAACGTTTTTGGTAAAAATAATACTTTGCATGTCAATCTCCAAACTAGATGCATGATATGACGTCATCCGCATGTAGAAAGTGATACTTTAAATTTCATTCTACTGTCACCAAATAAATGTGGAGGTTGTCTCACCTTGTAGCAGCAAAAGAAATCTCATAAACATTGTTATTATAAGGAGGCACAGAAAGCATTATTTTTCATATAATTTTTCAAATTTCCTATTTTGTTTACATCAATTTAAGACAATATAGGGGGAGAGAAAGAGTTTACAATTTGTGTCAGAAATACTGAAATTCTCACCTTACATGTTGAATTTGCTGTCAGAACCTTGGCAAGTCTTGGCTCCGACACCAAAGTTCAAGGTAAAATTTCTGTATCTCTCACACCTACATCTGACAGACTCAGGGCTCTGGTCCTCAATCCTGACACATATCATTTATTAAACTGCAGACCAAAATTTTATTTGCAAATACTGTGAAACTGACCGGGGCTTTGTACAGTGAAGAAAAAAATGCATTTTCACAGATTTGTATAAAATTACATAAAAACCAGGAACAATTCAAATCTGGCATATAAGAAAAGCAGAAATAGGTAGAACAAAGACATCACAGTATATTTTGTAAGTTAAACATCCCTAGGATGACTAGAATTTTTACTATTATTTCCACATGATCAACATGTTATATTTCCTTGTTATCTTCATCATCTATCTGTATTTCAATATCCTCAGTGCCAGATTCATCTTCTGTTCTGTTGTCCAGAAGAGGGGCATCTGAAAGATAAAATCAACAATCAAATATAATGTTTATTATACTTAATTATAGGCTGCCACGCTTTGTATCCAGTGGCCAAAGTAAGAACAATCTCCTCATCGTTAACAAATGCATGGAACTACTTTCTCTGTACATTCTAACGATGCGGTGATTGGGTTGACCTAAACCATTCTTTCTTATTGTTATTGCTATGCATGAAATTGGACATCTCCTGATAAGAAAGACATTGATCAACACTATTCTCCATTAAAATTACTTGAACACGTTGCATATTACATGGCAGGCAGTGCATGCAAGATTAATTTTTTGACCAGGAAAACCCCCCAAATGACACATGATACCATACAGTATGTACGTTTTAAGTGTGATGTCATATCCTGTCAAAGCTTGTGTTAACATTATATTTTAACCAGGTATAGGTCAGTTCATTGACCAATGAAAAAGCTTCTAACATCTTCGTCACATGTGACATAGAGCAAAACACATTCATTACTGTGACTTGTGTAACTGTTGGTACAGAGGTGGAGAGTTGTGAAGCATGCACATGGTACAAAGTTAAATGATTATCAAGTTAATGAATCCCTGAGATATTGAGCCAAGTCTGAATATCAGTAAGTCAGTTAGATTTAGGAATGGGTTCAAAGAGCAAAACTGTATATTATCTGAGTTCTGCCTACCTTCTGTAGAGAGATTCTCCCTGGATGTTTCCAAACTGCCTGCAGTAGCTCTGCCCGAGGCAATGGAGGGACGTGAGGCCGTACTGTCCAGCGTATCCACAGTGACCGAGGTGGAGGCATCACTGATGCTCACATTGACAGTGTCTATAGAGCCAAACACCTCTGATATACCATCCCTGTTCACTGTGCTCACAGTACTGATGGAATGTCTGTTACTCACTGTGTCTGCCTGGCTATTGTTGCGCAGGCTGGAAGGAATGTTTGGTAGAGGTCTGTAATCAGCAGCTGATGAAATGCGATCTTCTGCTATCTCTCTCGCAGACCTGCCTGGTCCTAATGACCTTGTCCTTATGGCCTCCTCGTATGACGGCAGTCTTGCTGCCTCGTAGCCAATCAAAGCCACTCTGTCGTGTTCATCTATAGTGTTGTTGTAGACACGGGAGTACGGGGGTGGGGTTCCACCTACTTGTGGATAGAGACGTCCCTGGGGCTTTCTGCGTCGAAACACCATCACCACCATCACCAACAACAACACACCCAACACACTACATGCTGTGGCAATGACAATGGCCAGGGTGTTCATGTGTCCGCTTCCGTCATCCGTGTCTTTGTCTGTCGTCTGAATGGACTGGTCTGTTAACATACAGTATATGCATTTTAATCCAGAAGCTTCGTTAGTAGTGAGGTGAGCACTTGCTGAAGAAATTTCCAATTTACAACTATGCCAGTTATCTAACATACTTGTAATTTTGATTGCAAGAACAGTTTTTACAATAAAATAGCAAGAGGCATGGTGGTTCTACGGGGACAGAGTTGTTTGTCTTCTTAAGTTAGATAGATATTTTTGTATCAAAATCACATGAAAAAGCTCACATCAAAATTTCAGTTGTGTATACATATTTACTCATTACATGTTTGTTTTCCTTGAAAATAATAATATTCAAAATACTGAGTTATACTTTGTTTAAACAACAGCAAAATGGAAGTTCATTGTAACTGAGAATGTGTTACTTTAAATCACCCTTGATAGGGAATTCGAAGCAATCCTAAATGCTATCCGGTAATGTACATTCCAGCAAACCAGTGTTTTAGGATTATCTAGAAAACATGACTAGTAAATAATACTTCATGTAGAAATGTGTCAGGGGGATATGTTAAACCCATTTATCAATGAAGAAAATACTATATAAACAAAAAGCAATATATGCCTCACCTGTATTTTGCCCTGGTACAAAGCATCACAATTCTTACCTACTGGGACACATGTTGGTATGCTTGCACTCCAGTTATTTTGTCCCTGACTATTTCTAACACAGCTAAGTTGATCTTCCCCCGCGAGGCGGAATCCGTCAATACAGGAACACTCCAGCATAGAGCCGAGCAGTCTACACTGGTCAGGATCAGAGGTGTGGGAGTAACATATACACTGGCCATTGGGCACCAACGGAAACTTGGCGCAGGAATCGGATTGAACTGAAACAATCATTTACAGTAACATGAGAAATTCATCCTTCAACTATTATCAGTGTCTTCATATTTAACCGATTAGCACTCCCTTTGACAATGAACCTTGTATTGTAATTTCCCATAGTGATTTTTCTAGTTCATTTTTTGAATTTTTAACCATTGCATGTTTTAGTTTTCAGTTATTGGCAGTCACTTTCATGCACAAAAATATCCATAGCACCTTCCTATCAGCAGATATACAAAATAATGCACAATAAAACTTAAAAAATAAATAAAATCAACTGTGGAGAATCAGCGTAGAAGCAGAACAAAGGTTGTTAGTAGTCGATTGTGGTGAAGGTAAGAAACGTACCTCCACTGTTCATGCAGATTGGTGGCAGCTGTGACCACAGTTCATTTGTATGACACACGATCTCATCAGCTCCTCTAATTTTGGAGTTAATGCAGTAATACTTGATATGTGTACCAATAGGATACGTGTCTTGGTTCTCCCCCATTTCAAGGTCATTCATCCCAGGTATGATGTTCCACTTCCCATTGGCCACATCAGGAGGTCTGTTACAGCCCGGTATCTTAACTATATCACATGAAATCAAACTAGTCACAGTCAATGTAGTTCTAATGGTCAAAAGATATACTATATACTTTTGTAGTTTTCTATCTGTCAATACCAACTTGTTTTTTACCACTTAATATATAATGAGCACCTGAGCTGTATATAAATGAAATACATGTGCAATGAAAATAAAGCAAAGTATAATGAGCAATCCATAGTTCCCCAGAGACCTTATTTCAGTATACAACACAACACTATCCAAAGACAATTACAAACTGATGGTCTGGCATACTGATGGACTGTGGGAAGAACGAACTTATATAAATTAGAATACTGTATACTTTGAAATTTTCACCACTGTTTTGTGTGTTTTTTTACGTCTTCCGCAATGATACCATATATATATAGTAATTACGTGTGGAGGACAAAATTAACACCGAGCTAATAAAGATTTTACCTGTGAAGGGCAAATATTTGACTTCGCAAAAATTTCCCAGTATACAGTATTGGATGAAGACATAAAAACGTTGCAGATAAACAATACAAGTAGAATAAAATGCATAATGACTTACGACACACAGGTGGGTCTCCAACCCATTTTCCTCCGGAGCAGCGGAGTGTTGAATACGAGTTGAAGAGAAAGTCATCGTATGAGCCCCTAGATAACAGTTTGTAGCCGGAGTCACACCTGTAGGTTACAGGCGTGTCCTGTGTATATGGCGTCCAGGTGTTGAGACGTTCAGTAATACTGGCATGAATCACCTCCGGAGGGGGAGAACATTCTGAAAGGACAAATTCAATTTATTGTAACAAATATTATACCTCATTGTGTTATGGTGATTCCTCAAATATATCTCTCTGACACATGAACAGTCAGACAACCCAAAATTGAAGTTATTCTGTTGATTTCTAAAGTCAGAATGATCGTGAAAATGTAGAATCTGCCTCCCACACTGGGAGACATGGTAAGTAAACTGTCAGTTACTGAAGTGCTTTATCTTCAATATCAGCAATAACTTTACTGTTTAACATTAATAAATGCTGCCATCTTGCTACAAAACACATGTATGTATTCCATGGCAATACTGTAGTAAGATGACAAGAGACCAACTTAAGCCCCTAAGAGAGTGGTAATAACTAATCAGATGGTAGTACAATGTATATATGTATGTTTTCATCCTACTGTAACTCTCACAATTTAGCTTATTTGGGCTCATGAAAGGAAGACGTAGATAGACCTGCCACATTTTTATCTATCTCTACTCTTTCCTTAATAACCTTTGTAGTTTTCAGATAGCAACCATTTACTCTCATAGGAATTAAAAAAAACAGTTTCTTAAAAAGAACATGAAACACAGGAAATTTCAGTTTACAATGGAAAATAATTAGATGTTTATGACACACTTCCTCTATAGGCTAGGGGACAAGGGCTGCTTTTGTTAGCAGCATGATATTTTTTTTAAATATCTGTAGTAAACCTGTTTTATTTTATATATTTAATAATGCGTCCACACTGAAGTTTAGTACATTAACACCCACTAAAGGTTTCCAGTCCTATATGTCTTTATATTAATATAAGAGAAAATCATGTGTACAGCTCATCAAAGGGAAAACAGATTAGCTTTTCACTCACCTATATCACTTGTGCAGTCTGGTATGTTTGTCCAGCCTTCGACCGTGACCCAGCGTAAGCCCTGGCTACAGACAATTTTAAGTGAGCTGAGCGACTGTTGACGGAATTTGATACTGTATTGGCTATTACAGTGAACCTCAGCTGATTTCTTCGAGCTGTCCATTCTGACTGTAGCATGACTAAATGTTGGATTTGAGCAAGTCACAACTGAAAAGGAGAATCACAAGAAGCTTGTATTAGTTCTTGGAAAATGAAAAATTCATAAATAAAATAGTTCATATTGAAACCATGTCTTAGTGACAGCTGTCTTTCACACACATCCTGAATGCAGTGATTGGCAGAAATAAATTTCAAAATTATAATATAAGTACCTGTCAATTCCAAATCTTATACTTACTTATGGGCAATTTGTTGACACATGAGCTAGAGACTCACTTGTTGGCAATTTGTTGAACATTGAGTTAGATTCAAAGACTTAATTGTGGGCAATTTGTAGAGACATTGGGTTAGAGATGTTTAATATCATAATTACTTACAAATTATTTTAAGACCCAGCTTAGGAATACATATTTTGTCCCAATAACAGGATTCCAAACCACACCTAATACACAGACATTCAATATCTGTCAAAGGCTGCTGACCTAAACACAAGACATACTTGTGGCCAATTTGTCAACAAATTGAGGTAGATTCTAAGACTTACTGGGTGGGGGGCAATATGTTGACACATTGAGTTAGAGACTTACTTGTGGACAATTTGTTGGCACATTGAGTAAGAGACTTACTTGTGGACAATTTGTTGGCACATTGAGTAAGAGACTTACTTGTGGATAATTTTTTGACACATTGAGTAAGAGACTTACTTGTGGATAATTTGTTGGCACATTGAGTAAGAGACTTACTTATGGATAATTTGTTGGCATATTGAGTTAGAGACTTACTTGTGGACAACTTGTTGACACATTGAGTTTAATTATAAGACTTACCTGAGGACAATTTGTTGGCACATTGAGTAAGATACTTGTGGGTAATTTATTGACACATTGTGTAAAACACTTGCGGGTAATTTGTTGACACAGTAGATTATAAGACTTAAGCTTAATAGTGGGCAATATGTTGCCACATTGAGTTAGAGACTTACTTGTGGGTAATTTGTTGACAGATTGAGTTAGACTCTAAGACTTGCTTGTGGGCAATTTGTTGACACATTGACTTAAGATTATAAAACTTACTTGTGGGCAATTTGTTGACACATTGAAGTAGATTATAAGACTTACTAGTGGGCAATATGTTGACACATTGAGTTAGAGACTTACTTGTGGGTAATTTGTTGACAGATTGAGTTAGACTCTAAGACTTACTTGTGGGCAATTTGCTGACACATTGAGGTAGATTGGCTGGTTGCCACATTCCATTTGTACATAACAACTTGTTAGAGCCAATCAAACTGTAGCCGTCCTCACACTCCACACTAGCCTCCACAGAACCTAGCGGGTATGTGCGCACTTTGGCATTTATTATATGTAGTGGAGGACAATCAAGCTCTGTAAAATATAAAGCTGCCATTAAAATTTATACTCAAAACATAAATATCCTGAATGAGTTTTAAACTTCTGCAAATTAAAATTCTGACTATTCCAAGCACACACAATATCAGGTAGTCTGTTAGTACACTATACATGGCTGTTACCAACAAGTGGTTACCATGAAACAGCATTACTCACCAAGTAATTTTAAGTCAATAATATCTTCTTTTATTAATGTTCAAACTGAGTGAAAGAATAATACATACCACAAAATGTGTGCATAAATGTGTGTAAAATCATATTCTGATAAAGCATAGAAAACATTCATTTTTGACTGTGTTGGAACTTAACAGTAAACCAATAGACATTCACCATGAAAATGAATGTAGCCTGTAGGCCTATGAGAATTATTTATTTTATAGACCAATTTGTCTTAAGGTCATAGGAGTGTATTGATAAACGGAAATAGGAAGTACATCCCTAGTTGAAAATCCAATGTAGGGAGACAGTATCACAATTTCCGCATATTCTAATGTTTAATATTAAACTGATGAATCTTGTATGTTTATTATTGACAGAACAGTGTGTTCTCTCAATATCAAACTATTTCAAAGCAATCCAGGCATTAAATCAGTTGTTTTTTATCAATGAGTCACATGTGTCCATTTTCTGTACTTCAGGAAACCGGCCACCTATTTCACTTTTCAAGACAGATAACTCTTTCGTACATGAAATTACTATTTGTACCGGTATATGTTTTTTTATATAAAATGTAAATTTTTAATCGCTTATAGATCATTAATTTTATACAATTTCAGCATTTATTAAATTGATATACATTAATGCAATAGTAATCTATGTCAGTATCATTTTTATTGACATTATTTTGCAAAAAATTATGTCTTTCCTAAATTCACTCCTTTTTACATAAATTTCCATTTAAAATCCTTAAAATTCTGACAATCCTATTACCTTAATGAAGTTATTTCCTATGCTGTGTAAGATTCAGTGATAAACATAGCAGTTAGAGAAAATAAATCTGTTAAATTATTTTACTTCCTTTATATGACAGTCATTTAGTTATCAAACACATTAAATATATCAGTCAAATTTTCTTGGTCAAGATCTAATCTATCAAATTTCCAGTAGGTCTGTAAGAAATCTATATTTCATAGACCTATTGTCTATCGCATGCAAATTCTAAATTCTAAGACTGCTTGTGTTTAGATTGTTTTACCTATTAATTTTTACAAAGCCTCTCTTATGCTAATGATGAAGGTCACATTTAGTCTGAAGCTTATATACAAGTTCAAGATAGTTATTACAAACTGGTTTTGATAGATAGAATATAATTTTGGATACATTATTTTTATCTATTGATCAAAAGAACTTGAATATTTAAATATTTAATATTTGCATTGCTGATTTTTAAAAGGTTGATAAGTAGTCACAATATGACCATTAAACCACCCGTTTACCATTACCTATAGTAGTTGTTTTCATGAACAGTTTTATTTTTACATCAATATCTAATAAATTTCATTTTATTTCATGATCCACACAACTTTGCATGTAAAATAATAAGTACACTGCACATGCATACCTTTTGACCAGCAAGTCTTCAATGAAACAGCAATAAGGAGGTAGTAAAAACAAAGTCCGGAAAAACACATCTCTTCCATCTTACATTACACACAAAGTAACTGAAACAAAGGAAATGTCATCTTTTATACAACAATGAAACAATGGCTCTCATTAGTTTTTCCTTCACTGCAAATAAGATATATAGGATTGTTTTATCATTTAAAGGCCATGGTGAATTCAGGGGGATTAGGGTTGGTGACAATATGGTAGCTATAACGGTGTATATACAGTGCTTTGCTGTTGACAAGAGAAGAAAGGGGAGGCACCCTTATTAGAGCAGGTGCCCTTATTACATTGTAACTCAAATATGGCAACTGTGACTAGAGTAGAATATGTAACCCTACCACAANATGACCTCATAAATGTTGAAAAAATAAAAATCATTCCTTAAAAAGATAACATGCGCCTCATTCAGAAAGTCTTAATCAGAGCTCTTGGACTTCTTTTGATAATTAAAGTCAGAAGGAGTTGCTTCCCCTGACAATAAATAAGACGATTAACAAGACGCACACAACAACACAGTTTACACTTAACAACATTTTTTAAAGTTGGGAAAACCATTTTTTGTATTCTGAAATTTGGAATTTGAATGACTTTGGGCAATTATATATGGATACTGAACAGCAAAATATTAGGACTGTTTCAAGGCCATAGACTAGCATTGAAGGCTTTTCAAGTCCCAAAGTGAAATTCTGGGGTTTACCAGGCAACACTCTAAATTTAAGACTTTTTCAAGGCCCATGCAAACCCTGTGACAAATGTTTAATTGTGAGATATGAATTCAGATTTTTATGAGGTACGAAATGCAAACTATTAGGTATTTCTATTTGAAAATACATGAACTTTGCATATACATTGTATATAACCTGGGAGTTTGAAGGGTACTGGGTAAACGCAGCTATCCAAAACAAAAATAACAAACCTACTTACGTTAATGTTGTCTTACCTTTTCATTATCTTAATGTTTCTCAATCTAAACAAGCCTTGTGATCCATATTGACCCTAACAATGTTTAATGTGTTAATTGGCGTGCAGAGATAGGATTAGAAACTTGATCTTTGTTCTAGTAACACTATACCACAGCTATACAGCTGGTGACATCCAAGTTGAGGTTAAACTTAATGAGGTTAACAGGCTGAACTGACTTTTCATGTTGTTACAGTTATATATATATTTATATATCATGCTTTGTTATCTCAATGGTAATAACTCAAATGTATGTAACGTGGCACTAATCCAACATGGCTGTCAAACATGTGTGAATTTCCGCCAGACAATTGACATAATAAGAGCTTGTTACTCTTATGTTTTAGATCACCATTTAGTAATTAAATTGCGCTGAAATTAAACACACCCTTCTGCTACAGATAGTGAAACAAGATATGATTTTTTTTTCAAACATCTAATTCTATCTTCAAGTTTCATCAAACAATGTATGGTTAGCTTTCTCATATAATTACTGATACTGATGTTTTTAAAGAAACACAGCTTGTTTTGATATAGTATGTTGAAAGAACTAGATTGAATGTAAGAAACTTTCAAAAATTGAATTAATCATTAAGTTATTGAAGAAAACATGGTCTGCTCAGTGATTTTGTGCTGACTTACTCTTTTTGTATTGATTTTATTTGTCATATCTTACCAATAATCATTGCACATCGAGTCAACCCACCCCACACCTTTGTGTTTTTTCTAATTGTTTGAAGATTTTAAAAAGTCAATACATGTCTTTCCCCTAAAAATATGATAAATATTAATACACATTAGTGAAATGATGTTCCAATGTGAAACCATAAAATATCTCCATACTTCAAAACACAAATCTTCATAAATTGTTTTCTGAAGTCATCAGGTATGGTCTATTGATTCAGTCAAGTAAGTAAGTTTGTACGCACTAATGACGGCTTCATGACCATTTGTACTATAAGCACAGAAGAATATGACGTAAAAAATACTTTCCTTGATGTCTTTTGCCCATCTTTCTCCTGCAATACTAATTATAATTATAAAGTAACCTATTCCTAATTAATTCAGTAATTTCTTGTGTGCTTGTTTTAATGTCAAATTCTTTTGTTTTTGGTGTTATTTTTTTGCATTATAATGAACTTTTGTTTTTGTTTTGATGAACAATTTGAAAAACTGGTAGGCAAACAAATACAAATCTGGTCTCAGCTACACCTTAACCCTAGAGGCAGTGAACGAAGTCATAACTCACAACCAATCTTTTCAAAAGCAATACACTGAGTAAATAATATCATCATATCTTTATTTCCTGCAAAGCATTGAAGAGTACAATAGGGAAGAGTTTTCACCAGTCAGCCAAATCACACTGCGGAGGCTAATCATACATGTAAGTTGATAGTACTTATATTGATACCCAACCTCCTCTGCTCTGACGATGCAATATGTAAGAAAAATCTCACATCGTCAGAAAGCTACGCTATCGCAGCAGTTGATGATCAGTACACTACCACATAAGACAAAACTAGACATAAGTTAACCATACATACACTGCAGCAATAAATATTTACAGTCGCCAAGTGGGCAAGTCTTAAATAAGTAACTATTTCCTTTAAAAGGTTTATCTCAAACACATAAAGATAAATTTAAAATGAGGAAGATATTTAGGACTACAAGGTTTAGTTTGGTTAATAGTATTGTTTAACGTCCTATCAATAGCTATGGTAATTTAAAACTGTGTGCAATATGCATGCGTGTGTGTTTTGGGAGGCTGCGATATGTCATGACTACAAGGAGGGGAAAGGTCTTCATGTGAGTTTACATCTCGGTAAACAAACACAAAAAAAACATGCTATCATTCATATGCTCTACTGGGGCAATCTTCCAATCTTCACAACCAGATTTAACCACTGTCACAACTATTAAAACTCTATCATTTAATTTGTTAACGCTGCCTTGTTGACGACCAAGTTTCACTCGGCAGACATGAGGCCTTATATTTTTCATAAATGAATTCTTATTGTCAATAATAAGTTCGATTCATTTACATAGAAAGGAAATTTGACAGAAGATGAACGATGTTTTCCTTCTAATTCAGAAATTATTAAAATTCATCAGCAACATATAATGAAAGTATACAATATTTAGAAAGACCTTCATATCTTAAATAAATTGTGAAAATAAATTCGCCTTCATTCCGAGTTTCTGCAGAATGACAGCTATCGTGCAGGACCTGTTGTGAGAAACCAGAAAAACACAAACCAAGGTTGTATCGTCAGAAGTTGTAGGACCAACCAGATTCATTTTTGAAAGATGATATATGTGTTATTACTGACACCATACAAACAATGTGTGGTTTCAAGCTTAACTCACAAATATACCTTAGGTTTGTCCCCTGTGTTGTTATGTTCCTTACTCAAGACGCCATATTGGGTAAATTGACATCAATTGTTTACGGAATGCGCATGACCGGAAGTGTGAAACATAAATATTGTTTGGAATCGATGAAACGTGCTTGCCATGTACGGATTGTTAGACAAACACAGTTGAACTAGCCGAGAACCTATTTTGGTGAAAATGACGTTCGTTGTTATCAGGACAATCTCTCAATCGAAATTATCGTAGACGATAGTGACAGGGACGTGCTAATGGGTGTTTTCTAACAGGTGCGAGCATTATAAAGCACCTTGAGCAGCACAGTGACAACGATTATGATATGCTTATTTTATCCCGTTTGTTCTTTGCGTTGATCATTGATGAATTTTCTTCTTATGCAGCTAAAACGTTGAGGCTAAGATCACAATGGTGCTTGGAATGTGCATACGAAAACTTGGACTGGGCAGGATTATAGTTTTCTTGGTTATTGCAATAATTTTTCTTCAAATTGTGCATTTTTATTCCCTGACTAACATGAGTTCCAGAGAAAAAGAGTTAGAAGGAAAACAGCAATCTCACAAAACAACCCAGAAATTCTCTTCCACTGCAAGAAAAGTTATACAGCGCCTACACCATTCCCATCTTATGGACAGTAGTGGATCTTACTACCTAGTGAGGAATGTACTTATACCTGACGGTGAAGATACTATGTCAGATCATTCAAGTGATGTCACCCTGGTCACACAATGTTCTGCCAATCATCTGGATGATCTTGTTGATTTGGCTGAGCGTTGGAATGGGGCAGTGTCCATATCTGTTTTTACGTACGACAATGATTTTCCATTTGCTATCAAAGCAATGCTCTATTCTCACAAGTGTTTTAACCAAATTAGAAGACACGTTTCCATAAATATGATTTACCCTATTAATAAACCACCAAGGGTTTCTGATATTGACAACATTTCTTTTGAAGCAATTAACTGTGATGTGCCATTTCATGAATTAAGAACTACCAATACTGATAATTATGCAGTGTCTGGAATTGAATATCCTCACAATGTTTTGAGAAATTTTGCCTTAAAAGGTGCAAAAACTCCCTATGTGTTTGTTGTTGATATTGATATGATTCCATCAAGTAACTTATTGCTGGAGTTTAAAACCTTTATAGAAAGACGTAAGCAATCATCTGATGGACGCATTCCAAAACATGATAAAGTTGCCTTTGTTGTACCAAGTTTTGAAATCAAAGAATCTATAAGAATTCCAGAGACGAAAACAATGTTATTGACTCAAATGAAATCCAACAATGTCCGTCCGTTTTACATGGAAGCCTGCCAGCGTTGCCAGAAGCAGACGTCTTATAGTGTGTGGGAGAAGCTAGTTGACATTGATTTCCTGGATGTAGGGTACACTGTTGACTGGAAAGATCCCTGGGAACCATTCTTCATTACAGAGAGCCATTTACCGTTATATGATGAGAGATTCAAACAGTATGGATTCAATAGAATAAGTCAGGTAAAATGCCAATGATTACAAATATATTTTAAAGAAAAAGGTACCAGCTAATGTTTTATTCCGTCTTTGCGTATTGCAGAGTTATCTTCTCTTGGGAGCAGGTATTGATTGTTACGTCATTGGTTTGAGAGAGTAACGTCATCAATTTTTGAGAAAACGACAATTTTTTTCACACAAACCAATGACGTAACAATCAATACCGGCTCACAAGAGAAGACAACTCTGCAATATGCAAAGACGGAATAGTTAAAATTGCAATGATTTCTTCTTCACAGCCACTATTGAAACAACAAAAAGGAGATTCTCTGACTTAAAGTTATGTCCCTTGTCAAGGTGTTAGTCTCTCATTTTGATGCTGTGCATTTACAGTTTTTAGATAGCAACATTATTATTGGTTAAGTGTGGAATTTGCAGCATATGTTTTTATGATTTTCCTTATTAAAATGCTGTAAAATGCATCATGAGATGTGATTCATACAGAACACTTCTCTAGAAAAAGACATAAAACAAATAGTTCATGAACCTGATGATGATAATATGGGGTAATATAGTTTGACTTACTTTTATATGCTTTACCATGAAAGCGATTTCCAATATGTATATTGAAGTCATTAAAATATTAACACATAGAGAAAGTCATTTATTAAATCATGTGACAAAGTTAAAAAGATCAATGCCAATTAAATATGTAATTCATATTATTTCTGCACTTTTTTCTAATATTACTTGGTAGTTTTATTTAAAATGTTATGAATACGTGTATTAATGAATATTTTCGTATAATTGCAGGTTTGTGAAATGCACATAGCTGGCTACAGGTTTGATATCTTAAACAAGGCCTTCTTAGTGCACAAAGGATTCAAATTTGCTGGAAAATTTCATAAAAGTAAAGAAGAGGAACTTGGCAGAAACAGAATGTTGTTTAGAAATTTTAAGGAAGAGTTAAAATCCAAGTATCCAAATTCATCTCGTCGGTGCTACTAAATTTTTGACACGATGAATTAACAACATGAATTATTTTGAAGTAGCAAAACGATCTAGACCTAATCCAGTGATTAGGAAAATGGTGCTGTACTATTTTTCCAGTGAGACAGAGGTATGAATTCACAGTTATGCTCTACTTGGAATATTTTGGCCTGAAAATGTCTATTTGAAGACAATGATATATTTATACATAAAATGCATTAATATTCATTGCTGTAATAGATACTTATTTTTGTAATAACTATGAGTTATATAAGGTATGAGTAGGATTTTGATTGGCCTGCTGTCCTGAGCCACCATCAGTCCAGCTGTCCCACCATCTGACCACCACCAACTACTTGTACTACTATCCAGCCTCTATCAGGCTGGTTGTCCTGCTGTCCTGAACCATCACCAGTTTAGATCTCCCACCATCTGACCACCACTAACTTGTTGTACCACTATCCAGCCTCCATCAGGCCAGTATCCTGCTGTTCTGAGCCATCACCAGTCCAGTTGCCTCACCAACAGCTAGTTGTACTACTACCCTGCCTCTATCAGGCTGGTTGTCCTGCTGTCCTGAGCCACCATCAGTCCAGATGTCCCACTATCTGACCACCACCAACTAGTTGTACCACTATCCAGCCTCCATCAGGCCAGTTGTCCTGCTGTTCTGAGCCATCACCAGTCCAGCTGTCCCACCACCAGCTAGTTGTACGACTATCCTGCCTCTATCAGGCTGGTTGTCCTGCTGTCCTGAGCCACCATCAGTCCAGCTGTTCCACCATCAGCTTGTTGTACCAGTATCCTGCATCCATCAGGCTGGTTGTACTGCTGTCCTAAACCACTACCAGTCCAATTGCCCCAACATCAGCTGCTTGTACTACTATCTGGCCAATATCAAAATGGTTGTCCTATCCTGAACCACCACCAGCTAGTTTTACCACTATCTGGCCTACGTTAGACTTGTTGTCCCGCTGTTCTGAGCTACTACAAGCTGGATGTCCCACCATCTGGTTTTAATCACTGTCTGGCCTCAATCAGGCTGGTTGTCCTGCAAATCTGAGCCATCATCAGTCTTGTTGTCCAACCATTTGACCACCACAAGCTGGTTGTACCACTATCTGACCACCACAAGCTGGTTGTACCACTCTCCAGCCTCCATCAGACTGGTTGTGCTATCGTAAGTCACCACAGCAGGTTGGCCCTGCTGTTCTGAGCCACCACCATTCTGCTTGTCTCATGATCTTACCACCATCATCAAGTTTTCCCCTTTCCCAGTCAATCTTAAGATCTTATCTCCACAAAATTATCCCAGTAATGTAGATGTTTTAATACCCAGCCACTTGAAGACAGGAAACAGTGGTGGCTGGGTTGAGATTATATTAATGTCTATTAAGAAATATATTTATACCTTTTATATTCATCACAATAGACCATGTCCTGGACCATGCCAATGATTCTATGAAATATTTAATTCTACTTGATTTCAAGTTGCAAGTTGGCAAGGTATATGCCCTCTGACTTGAGCATACAAAGAACTTTGTATTGTTTGCAATGTCTTGTTTAAGTTTGAAGATTTTAACATATTTGATGCTCTTGACCTTGAACACAGGACAGTTATTACCAAAGCAGATACTACAGGCAAAACATCATTACTCTATATTTTACGGCTTGAGAGCTAGAAGATATTAACCTTTTTTAACACAAACAATCCTGTGACCTTGATTATGGGTAAAGGTCATATATTTACAGTTTTTGAGACCAGTGTAGATTCATCCATTCTGTCCATTGTTATTCATACATTACAATGTACACATACTATATACTAAGAATGTATTTTGAAGTTCAATTCCTATTTGCCTCAAATGTTTGAGTAATTCAGTAGCTGCTGAAATATTTGTGTGTGCTGTTTGTATCCTATGTATGATGTATAACTCCAGTATTATTGACGCATAAATGACCGAGAATTAACCTATAGTATATTTTTGGAAATAAATTGAAATTAAAAATCAATAAATTCATTTTTTGTTTTAATTTAAAAAAACATAAAACTTTTTTGAGATGTTCAGCATGCCAGATCCTTGTTTTCCCTATTATCTTCCTGTGAAAAATTCAAATGTCTTTCTGTCTTACTAAAAAGAAAAAAAATCAATCTTAAAAGGATATTTAAGAACATTGTGTGAAATTTGAAACTTTTTTTAAATCACATGATGAAAGAATAGAATTAGAAAATACTTGAAAAACATGCTANTTCTGAGCCATCACCAGTCCAGTTGCCTCACCAACAGCTAGTTGTACTACTATCCTGCCTCTATCAGGCTGGTTGTCATGCTGTCCTGAGCCACCATCAGTCCAGCTGTCCCACCATCTGACCACCACCAACTAGTTGTACCACTATCCAGCCTCCATCAGGCGGGTTGTCCTGCTGTTCTGAGCCATCACCAGTCCAGTTGCCTCACCAACAGCTAGTTGTACTACTATCCTGCCTCTATCAGGCTGGTTGTCATGCTGTCCTGAGCCACCATCAGTCCAGCTGTCCCACCATCTGACCACCACCAACTAGTTGTACCACTATCCAGCCTCCATCAGGCGGGCTGTCCTGCTGTTCTGAGCCATCACCAGTCCAGTTGCCTCACCAACAGCTAGTTGTACTACTATCCTGCCTCTATCAGGCTGGTTGTCATGCTGTCCTGAGCCACCATCAGTCCAGCTGTCCCACCATCTGACCACCACCAACTAGTTGTACCACTATCCAGCCTCCATCAGGCGGGTTGTCCTGCTGTTCTGAGCCATCACCAGTCCAGTTGCCTCACCAACAGCTAGTTGTACTACTATCCTGCCTCTATCAGGCTGGTTGTCATGCTGTCCTGAGCCACCATCAGTCCAGCTGTCCCACCATCTGACCACCACCAACTAGTTGTACCACTATCCAGCCTCCATCAGGCGGGTTGTCCTGCTGTTCTGAGCCATCACCAGTCCAGTTGCCTCACCAACAGCTAGTTGTACTACTATCCTGCCTCTATCAGGCTGGTTGTCATGCTGTCCTGAGCCACCATCAGTCCAGCTGTCCCACCATCTGACCACCACCAACTAGTTGTACCACTATCCAGCCTCCATCAGGCGGGTTGTCCTGCTGTTCTGAGCCATCACCAGTCCAGTTGCCTCACCAACAGCTAGTTGTACTACTATCCTGCCTCTATCAGGCTGGTTGTCATGCTGTCCTGAGCCACCATCAGTCCAGCTGTCCCACCATCTGACCACCACCAACTAGTTGTACCACTATCCAGCCTCCATCAGGCGGGTTGTCCTGCTGTTCTGAGCCATCACCAGTCCAGTTNGAGTCAGTGTGCTAAAATTTCTTCATTTTCCTTGTTAAGAATCAGAGGTGCTAGTTTCAAATCCTTTTCAGTCTGAAATCTGTATGCTAGATATTGAGTAAGGTGGTTTTATTGTTTTTTGTCACTTTGAATAATATTTCTGTTCATGTTAAAAACAAAATCAACTCTCTGTATAAATATATCAGGTGACCGTTAAGGCCCATGGGCCTCTTGTTTTTTTTACCTCAGCCTGTGAATGCTTGTATCAGATTTGATGAAATAAGACTTTAATACATACAATGCATGAAACAAGAGACCAACCTAAATCACTGACACATGTCTTGACTTTGGCACATTTGAATTTACTTTCAGAAGGATGTTCGCATGCACTTTGTATCAGGTGAGCTTATAAGTGACTTTGGACCATTAGATATTGAGCTTCAATATAGATATAGTTTTGGTCAATCTGATTAAAATACAGCTCCTCATTATACAATTGTACGATAGTACAACGATAGTATAAGGAGTTGTATTTTAATCAGATTGGATTTTGGTAAAAAAATGTACACAGTTTTAAAGGGATATTCCATTCAATTGATCCGAGAGAAATTGAAACTTTCACTAGGTGACCTTGACATTTGAGACATACTTCCTACATTTTGGTAAATAGCATGTGTGGTAAGATTTTATTCATTGCCTTTCATTTCTATACTTTGAGAGAAGTTAGAAAATCTTTTTCTTGCCCTTCTATTTCTGTATGACCATAGAACAATGATGGATTTACATTTATATTTCTCTGTTATGCTGTATAGTTTTACAGGTTAATACAGTTGTACCTTTACTTATTACAAGTCTAGTTTCTTGCAGCCTGGTTGTCATACTCTCTGGTAGGTGATCCTTGTAAATCGATTTCCAATACATTGATTTCCCACACTTGTCTGATTGTGTCTCAGTTTCCTGTTAGCAATATATGTTCAAGATTGGGTCCATCGGGGCAGAAAAAATGAAAGTTTAAAAAATCAGAGGTGTCACTTTGCTAAAACATTGTACATGCTAAAAAAAGCGGTATAACCGAGGAGCGAGGAAAATTCAAGAAAAACCAAACACAACATAATGCTTGTAATTATGTTTAATAGTATCTCCTATTTTAATAACTTGCATTAACAATCCTTTCTCACAAGGACTTATTAACAACCATTGACACCTGACTCGTACAGAACCATCCCTGAAACATAAACACCAGCATGTCTCGGTATAGATATAAATAGAAAAGGTTATTTCATCTATCAATAAAGCATTTACCCCTTCCCAAGCACAAGATCATCAAACAATTTCCTATGCACCCTGTTAGGAAGAATTCATTTAACAAACCGTTTTCTTCAAACCATAATATTCAGACATTTACAACATTTTGATACGCAAAAATACTTGTCTGAAGATGAGTTTTTTTAAAACATAGATCTGCATTTTTCAGAATTATGGAGGTCATCAAAAATTGTGAAAAAATACATGTAGCAACATGTATTTTTATTGAAAATGAATAGCAAATTTAATAAACATCATGATTGATATAATCATTCTCTTTAACTTGTTCTTAAAATTAATGTCCTACATACATTTAACTCTGCTAAACTGTATTGCTAGTTCATTGTAAACATATAGCTACCAGACAAAAAATCTCAGATCTGTGTTGTATCCCTTCAATGTATGACACTGAAAATTAATTTAATGGATTTGTTTATTTCCAAATGATATAGAGAAGCAAAATCTCTTTCTTTGGATCATATTACACTTTCATTCATAAAACAGCAGCTTTCTAGATGTTTTTTTTTTAATTATTTCAAAACCTTTTGTTTTTCAACCAAGTTCTCCAATCTGTGTAAAGAACAAAACTGCTCATTCATATTACTTGTTAAGAGATGTCCAAAGCAATGTTCCAAAATTAACAACTTGTTCTCTTTGCAAATTCCGGTAAAAACAAACACTTCTCTCACAAAGAGTAAGCTGTTTACAGGAACCTTTGTCAACTTTCTGGAACTTCATTTAATTTGCGTCGCGATTAACTTAACTTAACGACCGGATCACCTACAAGAAACGGAAGAATTTTCTCATGACTCAAACTAGGGAAAGATGAAGAGATAAAAGTGTTTCTAACAAGATTGCATTAAATACTTATTATTGTTTTGTTAATTACATTATTTCCATTTACACCACAGGACTGAGTCACTTTGCATAAGCAGAACATGAGCATGTTGAGACGAAACAAGCACAATATCACAGTACATATGGTGAACACAACTTAGTCCATGGCCATCTTCTTGGCCCCGAGCTTTAGAGCGCCGCTTCCTTTCTTGGCTTCTCTTTTATCTTGTAGTTCCTTTTGTCGTTGTAGCCTCTTCTGCTCCCGTTCCTCCTTTTTCTTTCTGGCAATATCACTTTTACTGGACCCTGTATAAAGGATAATTCATTTTAACTCGTTGCTTCAGTCTTTTTAGAATAGCTATTGATGTCAGCTAATTTGTAACCCTGATCTACATGTTGAAAAAAAACCTTTCATCTAATACCACTGACTAAAATTTACAGATGTTGTATGTCATTTCCTTTGTCTAAAATTTACAGATGCTATAGAAAATAAAATGTTAGGGTCTGCAACTGAAACAAAACTATGGTAGATACAGAAAACTTCAGCTGGTTTTTTTTCAGACTTAAAACCCAAAGACATCTGTCCAACTATGTATTAAGTGTTTAATCCAGCCAATGTACTATTATTATCATTATACAAATATCAGCAACAATCTTAATCATTCTGCTTTCAAGAATTTTACTGATCAAGAAAAACCAAGTGAGCTTTATGAGCCAAATGCATGATTACTTTTTAAATCTTATTACTCTTGGGCTTAAATCCTGTATTTCTTTTTATCTGAATTTTACACCAGCCTGTTCCTACATTAATTGGAAAAATATAACATTTCTTTCATTGCAATTGTGAAGATATCGTATCATTTTCTCTTCATTTTGGGAAAATAAAGCACTTTATGCTATTATAAGGAAAGCATCCTGTTCTTGGTTTGATCTTACTTTACCTATTGTAGTGTATATCTGACCCCAATCTTGTAACCTACCTGTATCCCATGAGCTGTCATCCCAGCCTCCTCCACTGTCTCCCCAGCCTGTCTCTTGCGTGTCTGTGCCTGTTGACCCCCTGGAGTCCTCGGGTGGTCGGCTTGTTGCCCTTGTGGTGGTGGTGGTACCACTTGTGGACCCGACAGTACCCCAATCTTCACCATCATCCCATCCTGAGTCCTCGCCCAACCCAGACTGTGGAGGGGGGGACTTGGACTTAGATTTAGGTCTTGAGTCACTGTGTGTAGGTTTTTCTCTTGTGTCCCTTGATTGTGTAGTTTTTGCATTTGAAGGTTTGGTTGATTGCTGCACAGGTCGCTGAGTTTTCTTCTGCAAAAGGTAGAAATAATTTGCACCAGTACATTTTTTTTTTGAAAATTCACTATCAACATTTACTCATTATTATCTTGATGTCATTATCAAATGCCTGTACCTGTAGCAGATAAACCTACTGGGGGGAAATCTATCAAACTGAAACCTCAGTATCAAGTTCTAATGGTCTATCAAACTCTTCAACTATGATCAAACCTACCTTAGGTAAACCCATAGCTGAAGAAAAGAAGTCAGTCCCAACTGGTTCTTCAGTTCCGCCCCAGTTGTAGGCACTAGCAGGCTGAAGACTGCTGTCCTCGATTGATAAAAAGTCCTCCTTTTCCTCCTCCTCCTGGCCCCATCCTCCACTCCAGTCATCAGATGGAGACTTCGTCTTCTTCTCCAGCCTCATTCCACCCCCACTGCTCACTGACTGGCTAGACTGAGGACAGTAACCGGACCATGTACACATACATGCAAAATTACTGTGCTCATTAATATAACAAGACCCACTTTACCCTTTCACCACTGTAGACAATAATGGATTCATCCATATCAATGCATGATAGAGTCTACTGAAGTTACATAGGGGTGAAATGGTTTGATTGTTTCTGGCTGTAACTTGTTAGTACACATTTACTGCTATACATTTATTATGTAAGGCGGTTTTCAATTTAAATCGGAATGCTGTATGATACAAATGTAAAACATAATCACTGTTAGAAATGTTAGTTGTTATATTGTAACATCTTACATATGTAAATGATAACTGAGCTTATAAACTATTTATGAAATCTTAATGTAAAACTAGCTTCTCCCTAAATTTCGTTGAAATTCATGTTTTATCTATGAAAGAAAGTGACTCACAGGTTGTGGTTGTCCAGTGTCTTCCAAACTTCCCCAGTTATCATCGTTGTCATTGTCATCCCAGCCATCCCCAGGGCTCTGTACAGTCTTTGATGTGGGCGACGAAACAGGTCTTTCCTAGGTAAAGATGCAAATGACAAGTGTCTCTTAGATTTATATGAGCAGATTCAGACTGTTGATCAATTAGTCATATGGTATGTTGAAACACACAGTGTTTTCTGTAAAACAAAATATTGCTTGCTCTTGCTGTGTAGAAAGTTTTATTTTATGTCACTTTGCATTTAGCATGTCTGCAAGTGTTTATTTCAAACCCTCAGTGATGTGGAATGATTTCTTTAGGATGGGAGTCTGCCCTTAATATAAGAATGATACTTTTTTTCTCCATAAGACAAAAGTTTGGTAACAATGATCAACTTCACATACAGGTAGTTCTACTGTGGAGAGTTACTCTGCTATGATATATTCGTAACAATTCTGTATAAGAAAATACCTGCATATTTCCCCAGTCCTCTTCATCCCAGCCCTCCTCTTCTTCCTCCTCCTGAGAAGGTTCTGGTGTAGGCTCCTGGCTCGGGCTTGACTGTTTTGTCTGTTGAGGCTGCGAGTCAGTTGGTTTTGGGGTAGAGCCAGACATAGTTGGTTTTGGAGCTACAAAGAATTGGAAATACAGAATTGTGTAATGTTATCAAATTCCTATTTCCACATTACAAATGATATCTTCAAAATTGATCAACTTTGAAAATGATTTTTTTTCTCTTATCAATGAATAGTAAGATGTATTGTAAAGCAAATGCTTTTACCTGTGAAATCTTATCATTGGTACCTACTGCCTATATTTAAAAGCTAATGTGTGGACATCCGTCACTGCAGTACCTACCCCCTGTACTAGACTTGACCTGTCACTGCAGTACCTACCCCCTGTACTAGACTTGGCCTGTCACTGCAGTACCTACCCCTTGTACTAGACTTGACCTGTTACTGCAGTACCTACCCCCTGAACCAGACTTTGCCTGTCACTGCAGTACCTACCTCCTGTACTAGACTTGACCTGTCACTGCAGTACCTACCCCATGTACCAGACTTGACCTGTCACTGCAGTACCTACCCCCTGTACCAGACTTGGCCTGTCACCGCTGTACCTACCCCCTGTACTAGACTTGACCTGTTACTGCAGTACCTACCCCTGTACCAGACTTGACCAGTCACTGCAGTACCTACCCCCTGTACCAGACTTGGCCTGTCACTGCTATACCTACCCCCTGTACCCGACTTGGCCTGTCACTGCAGTACCTACCCCCTGTACTAGACTTGACCTGTTACTGCAGTACCTACCCCATGTACCAGAATTGACCTCTCACTGCAGTACCTACACCCTGTACCAGACTTGGCCTAGCTGTAAATTTAAGAGGAGGTCATGCCCACATTGCAGTACTTACCCTTGTACCAGCCTTGGCCTGTCACTGCAGTACCTACCCCCTGTACTAGACTTGACCTGTTACTGCAGTACCTACTCACCCCACTGTACCAGACTTTGCCTGTCACTGCAGTACCTACCTCCTGTACCAGACTTGACCTTTCACTGCAGTACCTACACCCTGTACCAGATTTGACCTTTCACTGCAGTACCTACCCCCTGTACCAGACTTGGCCTGTCACTGCAGTACCTACCCCCTGTACCAGACTTGGCCTGTCACTGCTGTACCTACCTCCTGTACCAGACTTGGCCTTGCTGTATATTTTGGAAGTTAATGAGGTCATTCCTGTCACTGCCCATCCGGTCCAGCTGCCGGCTGATCCCATGGCAGAGCCTCCAACCATCACGTCCTTCTCTGTATCACAAAAATGTTGGCAATATGAACAATTAAACCAAAGATTTGTCTCAAATTTCAGGTTCTCCACAATATTTGGGAAGAGTTTGACAGGCAATTACTTCCTAATTTGTAGAGTCACTCCAAACTTATTGATGCAAATTAAAATATGACACAAGTCAGTTCAAATGTTATTTTTTTGAATTCTTATTTTGATCTTGATGTTTATTAAAATATTAAAATTCTACACTCAATTACACTTTGTAACTTCTGTTTGTTTATGTATTTTTTATTGTATTATTGTTTCATGGTGACTGTTTTTTTCTGTATATGTTGTGATATGTAAACTTACATTTTCCTTGATAAAGGGGCAAATCGCCTTGAAAATTTGACAAATTTCTATATCTGCACTGTCATTATTACTTCTTTGCCCATATATCGAGACTAGCTAGATGTAGATAAAATATGTAAACTTCAGGACCATTGCCAACACAAACATGTCCACACCGTGATTGGTTAAGACAGTTACAATGTCCACACCATGACTGGTTAAGACAGTTACAACACAAAAATGTCCACACCATGATTGGTTAAGACAGTTACAATGTCCACACCATGATTGGTTAAGACAGTTATAATGTCCACAGCATGATTGGTTAAGACAGTTACAATGTCGACACCATGTCTGGTTAAGACAGTTATAATGTCCACAACATGATTGGTTAAGACAGTTATAATGTCCACCCCATGATTGGTTAAGACAGTTACACTGTCCACACCATGATTGGTTAAGACAGTTACAATGCAAATATTTCCCTATGGGTGAATATTGACTTCAATCTACTACAGTGACACCTGTCTCATCTGACACCTTGTGGGTTCCAACTAACTGTTGGAATTAGACAAGGCATTGAAATAGAGTTTTATTTGAATACAACTGTGTGTTTGATATGACAGATGTTTGGAAAAGTTGTTGAATTGGACAGGTGTCATTGTGTACATATTTCCACGAAGAGACCAAATTTTCTTCAGATTTATTCAGAGTGGAGGAGGGAGCATCAGTAGTGTATTATAGACAAGTTTATTTTGAAATGGGGGCGGGGGCCTTCACTTTCTCCTTTAGCTGCGGGGACCGTAGCTTCTATGTCTGATTTTTTTTTATTGGTATCGGACCAGACATCTATGGTCCGATAACAATAAAAATAAAGAAAATAAAAAAATCAGACATAGAAGCTACGGTTCCCGCAGCTATGTCTCCCCCTGCCTTGTAAAAACACTGTGAAGGATGAATCTAATACTGGGTTCACTTTAAGAACACCACCGGAAAATACGTTTGGTCTTGGTGATCATATTGACCATAGATAGGCGACCCTTTAATATTATTACCCATTTCAATTGCAAGCTCTGGGTCTTCCGAGACTTTTTCAAGCTTGACAATAAATCCCTTGATTGCTTTAAATGCCTGAAATTAAACAATGACAGAACTTATATTGTTGTATAATTTGATACAAAATTCCTCTATTAAATATGCAGTTGGTGTTACCTAGTTACGAAATTATCACTACAAATAGAAATTTATTAACAAATTTTTCATTAAGATAAACATTAATTTTTTTAGCATACTTTTCAAAAGTCTGTGATCAATTTACTGAATAAATCTTAAATGAAAATGAATATATATCAATATATCAAGACTCACCTGGTCACGAACACTTTTCTCCGGATCCATGGTCATAGCACATAAGGGAGGTAGTATTCTGTTGGCTACCTCCTTCAGTTGGTAGTAGTTCTGGGTAGCTGCCAAGGCGAGAATTCCAGCCTGCCGTGCTGGTGGGAATGGGTCCTTCAGAGCTCGTAGGAATGCAGATATAATAATCTTCTGTCTCACCTACAAGTACACCACAATCATTTCATACTAATACACAATCTTCCAGCACCACATTGTCCACTAACAAGACCTGTGTATTATCTTGGCAAATTCTGATTGACACTCATGGATGGACAACTGTTCATAATTTATCTAAATGTGATAAGTTAAGCTCATCTTACAAAACCTCCATTAGCCGAGTCTTTCAGTTCAGGAAAGTTATAAGATATTGTCGTGAAATTCATTGTCAAGAGGTTTAAAACATTCTGTGCAGATTTAATTTCACTACATTCACAGTAAAAAGAATATACACAAAACCCTCTATACTTGTTGCCAATCTGAGAGACAAACACAATTGACTGCTATATGTGATGTGAGAATTTTTATTCCCACAATACGTTTCAGAATGTTTGCAAAACCACAGAATTAACCTGCTATAGGCTATAAAGTATCCCGGATGAATAGAATTTTTACCATCTTTTGCAGAAAGCACTGGATTATAAAATATCTGAGCACATTACCATCATTTGAGAAATTCCTAAGATTCTGTTTAAACTATGATGAAAATTAATTTCCCCCGAAATACCATGTTCTACAGAATCGATTTGCCCACGTATCATGTTCTATAGAATTGCCGGTGATTTCCGTACCTGAGGATTAAGACAGCCAGCGATTTTCCCCAGACATACAGTGGTGTTGGTCCGAATGCCTCCCTGTAACAGTCCATATATAATGTAAATATTTAAGTATAGTCTATATCAGATGCAACTTGGTACAATTCATATTCATCTACTGAGAACATAGAAAGTAATATATTATAACTCTTTATTTTTTCTGTCTTATTTATGACCAAGGACAGTTTGGTCAAGTGGTAAAATGAGCAAATTACAAACAACTTTCCAGCTATCAGTGCTCACCTCATACATCAAATGGAATGTTTTAAAATTAGTATTACCTGTTCATCTTTAGCTTGAAGACGAGCAAAGTGTTTCATCAGTTCTTCGTTCATGTTTTTGTAATTCAATTTTGGCGCCATATGTAACATTGCCTGAAAAACATGCAATGTATAATAAATACCTAGGCCAAGGATTATAGCTTTTCCCAGTCTGGCAGTAGAGGAAGTGTGTCAGACATTTTACATACAGATGTAGGGATGAAAGAGCCATCCTGATTCTGTTATCTGTGTCGATAAATTCACATTTGATGGTCTCTAAAACACAGCATCATACCTCATTAAAACCTGGTATTGGAGAGTAATCTTCTATGCTACATGAGCTGCTGCAGCATAAAAGGCATTACTGATATTCCATGCACATTATTTTTGTATGAAAAGAAACTGCAACCATTCATATGGAACAATTCCAGCTTTGGTGCATATAATTCTTAATTTTGTCAATTTGATGGTGTCATAGAAAACTGCATTCTAAAAGTAACAACCATGGATAATTTCCAAAAAGTCCATTTTTTTTACCAAGTTCTTGTTAAATTACACTGACTTTTTCACATCGCTTGTGCCCTTATGAGCCAATCACAGTACTGATGCTAAAACACCATAAGGAATCACATCATTATAAAGCATACTTATATCTATAAATGTAATATTTATGATTTTCAAATATCAAAATCATTTTCCAATTATTTAGATACACCTGTAGATATTTAAATATATAGGTATCAAATACACTTACGTTTTAGGATATTATCAGTTGACCCAAGCTTGTATGCTTACCTTGATGGTACTCTCCCTCACGGCTGGTACCGTGTCCATGAAACCCGTGGAGATCTGGGGAAATATCTGGTCGTTGATAACATTCGGCTGGAGGAAGTCAATGAAAGAATCGACCTGGAAAAGGAAAATGTAACTAAAAATGTATCTCAAATATAGTTGGCATAATTTATACATATCTTAAAAACGAAATATAGAATTGGGTTATGATAATGAAATAAGCTTTAATTCATTGAATCAATTCACCTTGATAGTGTTGGTAATATGCTCTCAGACACAGAATGACCCATTTAAGATGTTCTTATATTGGACTAACATAGAGTTATTAATTGTATAAACTCATTTTTGTTTTTAAATCCTACTAGCATGGACTAGACTCATTACTATTATTAAGTCTGACTAACAGAATAACTCTATCCTTGTGTAGTCTATTCAATCTGTTGTTAAGTCTAACCAACAGAATAACTCTATCCTTGTGTAGTCTATTCGATCTGCTGTTAAGTCTGACTAACAGAATAACTCTATCCTTGTGTAGCCTATTCAATCTGTTGTTAAGTCTGACTAACAGGTAAATGTTATTCTGTTAGTCAGACGTAACAACAGATTGAATAGACCAAACAAGGTAGAGTTATTCTGTTAGGCAGACTTAACAACAGATTGAATAGCCTCCCCAAGGATAGAGTTATTCTGTTAGTTAGACTTAAAAACAGATTGAATAGACTACGCAAGGATAGAGTTATTCTGTTAGTTAGACTTAAAAACAGATTGAATAGACTACGCAAGGATAGAGTTATTCTGTTGTTAAGTCTGACTAAAAAAAAAAAAATATTTTTTTTTTTTTAGTCAGACTTAACAACAGAATAACTCTATCCTTGCGTAGTCTATTCAATCTGTTGTTAAGTCTGACTAACAGAATAACATTTACCTGTTGTAGAAGTCTGACTCGGGTCGCTCTATCTGAAGATGAGAAGAGTTTCACTACACATGGCACTATCTTTTTCTGATATTCGTCAACATCTAACTTTTTCCCAAGCTGTAAATAAAATCATTTAATACTGTACATTAGAAGAAGATACATCTCCTATAGACTAAGGCATAAAATAGAGGATTTTAAAAGGGGTCTGTTGAATAATTACATATTTTTCAAAAGTATGGAACTATTTACCATTAATGTGTTTTAATGAATGTGCCTTCCTTGTTATTGTGGCACTGAGCAATGTAGCATAAGTTAAGAATTCAGCGGTTTAAATCCAAGTAAACCATCATGAAAGTTAAGCTCCGTGAAATAAAGTGTTTCATGGTAAGTAGCTAAAAGGAGGACTTATAATATACTGAGAAATTATAATAATGACCTTCTAATCAAGTAACCATAAATAACTGCTTACCTTGAAAAGGGGAGCTAACACAGCAGACCCAGCATTACCGTACTCGAACGCATATAGCAGCTGGGGAAGAATCTTTTGTTTACAAAATACTTCAGGGAACAGGTCAAGTGATGCTGTCAATCCACTGAAAAATGTTGTCTTTTCTGACTGCTCTTTAATCTGTGGACCAGACAAATAAGAACAAAAAATTGACTACTGAAGGGTAGCTGAACAATAAGAAATTATTGTCAAAGTCTCATTGTATATTGTTTTTCTTTCTTTTCACTATTCAAGTCCAACTTCCTATCTTTTATCATTAATTAAAACCATTTCTACTGACCTGGGGTTAATAGGTTACCACAACACATTTGTTATTGGTGTAATTGTTTAGAAAGCATCTCATCATGCAAACGAAATACAGTGATGATATACGTGTATGCTAGTTTATGAAGAACTGTATTTTCATTTAGAGGTATCTAGTCACACAGGTCTTTAAAAGACACTTTTCACTGAAGCAATATCAATTGATTTCTATAAAATTGTAATTTTTCTCTCTGTAAATAATGGGTAAATGTGATATTGTATATCAAACAATCAAAATGTTGAATTTTAAGTGCTTAACAACAGAAATGCAATACCAAACTTATGAGTTAAGTGATTAAATATACATCTTACCTGTATTTCTCCCAGAAACATCATTGTATCAACAAATGAGTTATTGAGGAAACCGTTGGGCCTGCGACTGTCTTCTATGAATTTCGCTGGGTTCGGCCGTGACTTCGGGTTGGCTCCTACTAACTCACAGTAATTTGGCACTAGGGACTTGGGGATCTAAAAACATATTAAGCACAGCTTGAATAACGGAACATCAACTAAGTTCAAATCTATCCTAAGATATCCATATTTCAAAAACTTCTTGTTGGAAAATTAATTAATATGATAAAAAACACCTTCTAAACAAGATAGTAAAATGCATTTTTTGTTAATCCTGTGAAGCGCTACCTAGTCTTTATGAATGAGAATAGCTCATGAAAGGTAAGGTAAAATACAATTCTTGTCCCAGTTTTTGTTTCAAAATTTAATATTCAATACTGATAACTGTGCTACAGGACTGTCCAAACCCCATTTGATACATTTAATATCCATATGTTTACCTTTCCTAAGGATTTTAAAGATGTGTTCTTTGGTAGTGGACCACTGAAGACCTCCCAGATAAGACATCCTAGACCCCACATATCAGATGACCTGAAAACGACATCAAATGTAAATATCAAATGTCATAAAAGTCTACTCTCTAATTTTTTTCGGCTTTTGAAAACTGATAAAAAATAATTGTGTCACTGAAGAGCCATGAATATTCTCAATCTCAACAATATATATATATGTAAATTCATACAACATTTCTGCTCCTTCAAATTCCATCTTTGTCTTTAGAATAAACAAAGAACTTTCTTTAGTTCTTGCTATGAAGCATCTATAAGGAAAGTCAGGAAATACAATTGTCTTCTGCTAGAAGTAATTCTTTATTTTAACTTTGATGTCAAATTTATAGATTTATTTCCTGTATCCAATTAGTAAAACAGATATTTAAATCTGATTAGCAGTTGAGCTGACACAGGAAAGTCGGAATGTGATGATTAGAAATAGTTAAGAAATGACTGCATATCTTTTATAAATGACATTAGGTGATATAAAAGATTTACCATTTTTCTCCACGTATTCCCCTACGTAGATCCGACTTCTCTGGAGGGTCATACTTTTCCAGTATTGGTAATATTTTGACTGGTGGTATAGAGTCCTGCCCCTGAGCAGGGTACATGTAGTCAACACCCGCCAACTTCCACTCCCCCGCGGGGTCCACAAACACGGACGCCATACACACATTGTTGTGTATCAAGTTACAATCGTTTACCAGGAATGATAATCCTTTCTGTGTTGGAAAATTAAAGAGTTGATATTAATTATTTCTTCCTTAGACTGGTTAACTCTGAGTAAAGCTAAACAATTAATACACATTCAATGTCTTTGCATTTGTCACTTCACACTTTCATCTTTCTACCCCACCAAGATCATTCAAATTCTAGACCAAATTGTTTTTGCCAATTTGTTCCATTGATTCAATGAACATTAGCCGCAGAAAATGTTTTCAAGACTATCTTATGTAAAAGTATACAGGAACAGAATTTCGACCGCCTTTCAAAATTTTAGCAGTGATCATGATTTCAATGTACTTTCATAAAATAATGTAATTATTAATCAAGGCAAAAAGGCATATCCACATTTGTCTAAAGTTGTTAAATACATTTTTTTTACAAATAATACATACTACATGTACTACATAAAATGTGAGGACAAAATTATCAAGCTTACCACAATTTGATGGATTCCCCATGAGATTGCCAGAGTGTTCTGGTCACCTCGATTTTCATTGTCCTTCAGGTAGGTTTCCAGCGGAACAACAGGTTCAGTTGCAAAATAAATAACCTTCTCGGTCTGAAATTTATCAGGGAAGATTTCAAACATTATCAATGCAGATATTGTATACCCAATATAAACAGTGTGATTAATTACAACATTTTCTAAAACTTGTAATCAGAAATCATTTCAAATAACTCATAACTCTTCCCCCACCCCCCACCCCACCCCACCCCGCATAGATGTGAAAGTATTACTTGTTTATATATACATGTATTTATGTATCTGCATTCTGTATCATATATTACAATACACACCCTGTTTTCAAAAGGTGATCATTATACATGTATCATTATGGTATATACATGTGTAACAGGAAAGGAAAATTGCACGGCCAGACCGGGGTTTGAACCTGTGACCCTCCGAACCTTAGAAGGACCCTCTACAAATTGAGCTATCTGGTCGCCGACGATCAACCCAGTACAGTTCTGCTACACATATATATATCATGAAAACATAACACTTACCTCAATGCCATCAAGAAATGTGAGTATGTTTGGGTGGCGTAGAGTTTTTATTCTCTTCAAAGCTCCTTTTGCAAGTTGTACCTAAAAAGTTGAATAAACGACAAATAAGCCCAACAATTAAATATACAAACCATAAGGAAAATTTCAAAAATGTAGACATTTTCTTCAGGATGTAAGTATATATTGTATGCAGTTCATATTGCACATCCAGTAAAATGTTTATGTGTGACGTTTTACTGTAAAGACAAGTATGATATGTACTCGGCCAACTACATTTTGCAAATCGGTTAAGTTATGTACATTATAATTTTTTAAATTGTAAAGTTTGTACGAGTTGGCTATATAATCACCACTTCGTTTGATACCAGGTTATAATTTTTTTTCAAAGTTTCACAACTACATATGGTAGTCAGCGAAATGGTTTGTAAATGTGCATAGAACATCCAAAAAAAATGTTTTGTTTTGTCATTCAGTACTTGTGTCATGTATCATCATACAATACCTGAGATTCACTACTGCCTTTCACATCAAAACAAAAAACGGAGACTGGTTCATTCGTACCCTGAAAAACAAAAGAATTTAAGTTATATATTAACAAAGGAAATCAATTCATCTATACTTTATAACAAGCTATGACTTTTTGTCAATGTGCAATATTATATCTAAAAATATACAAATTGCATCATTTTTTCTGGCCTGTACATTTTTTATCTTTATTTTCAGATTAATCTGTGTAATTAGTAAATCAACACTTTTCAACAGTAAAATTTCACATGATGGTTGCATATTTTTCTATATACATATGGCAACAAAATAAAGTTATTGACCCTTATCATCAATGCCTCACAGCTCTAGACAAAAAAGTTATTGCAAAATATTGGAACATGGTCCCCTTGCTAGCTCTAGACAAAATTTTGACACTCTGTCATCCTAAAAGATACTCACATGCAAAATTTGGAAAAAGCAGATATTAAGAGTTTACAAGATATGCCCCCAAATAGAGTTAAAGGATTTTGACTATTTCCTTATTTTATGCTCACATGATGCAATGCTATATATACATGTGTAGTCAATGAGACCATGTTTCTCTCAGATGACAGACAGATCAGGTACTGTAACAGTAAACCGGCTTGACTACTCATCTGTATCAGCCAGGTGAATTTTCATACGTTATTTGTTTTTATATATTTTTCATATTCTAAGCAGAATTGCAAAGTTAACCTGCTTAACTGAATAACAGTATGGACATCAAAGGTGAAAACATCCATCAAAGAATAAAGACATCATTGTTGTTCTGTTGTTCTGGTTCTTTTACCAAAATAGAAATCAAAGTGAGTTTGTCATTTCACATATTTACTAGTACAGTACTTAATGTGAAAGAAATAGAATCGATCATTGCAATATGAGAAAGATCTGTTTAGTTCTTCTTTTAATCCATTTTGTTTTTATGATCAGTCTCAAAATATAACATACACAACGAGGGATCAAGGGGAACCTACATTTAAAATTTGAGAAAGATCCCTCCCGTACTTCCCGAGAAATAGCGATAACAAACTTTCACTATCAAAATCCAAGATGGCTGCCTGTCGGCCATGTTGTTTATCCGATCAGTCTCTAAAATTGCCCTGCACAGCTAGGACCAAGGGGAACCTACATATAAAATTTGAGAAAGATCCCTCTGATACTTCCCGAGAAATAGCGATAACAAACTTTCAATATCAAAATCAAAGATGGCTGCCTGTCGGCCATGTTGTTTATCCGATCAGTCTCAAAAGTTGCCCTGCACAGCTAAGGACCTGGGGAACCTGCATATAAAATTTGAGAAAGATCCCTCTGGTACTTCTTGAGAATAGCGATAACAAGAATTGTTTACGGACGGACGACGGACCACGGACGCAGGGTGATTTGAATAGCCCACCATCAGATGATGGTGGGCTAAAAAGGAACAGGTTTGTTCATTGTTTACAATGTTTCATTGTGCCTTCCTGGATGGCATTTTCTTGTGTCCTGTTAGGTAATTTTTAGGCCTAGAGTCAGTGATTTTTAAGGCTATTGTATTACAAGGGCTATTACAGTAAAAATTTACCCAATTTATCTGTCCCGACAAGTGGAATCGGACCGGCACCCGCGGGTTCTGATAACATCTGTGGTGGATTTTTGCATTTAAAAAGATCAGACAGGCTTTTGGAGCCCTTACTGTCCGATAGCCGTATTTTTTTGGCGTAGTATTTGTCATTGTGAGACAACACCATATTTCTCAGTGATTCGTGATCAGCTAAGCGTTTGCAGACGACTTGCATTCTATATGCAAAAACAACGACCGGGTCAAAATGCCTGGAATTATTTTGATGAAATCTTATTGTGAATGGGATCAGTACCCGACCATTTTTATGTACCTAGGTAGGCTGAAAAATCTCTGCAGAGTCTGCATTCCGAGGTTTTTGGAATTTCAGTTGGTTAAACTGTTTTGACCAGAGTCAATTAGGTGGTACCAAGGTCAGAATCAGCCCTGGTAGAGGTTTTGACTGAGGAACTGGCAATAGGATTCACAGACTGCCGCCCCCCGAGCTCACAGACCCTTTCCTGGTGCAAAATATTTGGAAAGTCTACAGTGTGATTATTGATATTCAACCACGACACGAAAACTGCCACAGACGGTGTCTGTGGCCCTCCCTGTAGCGACAGGGACATATACAACCTGGGTTGGTGTGGTTGCCTTTTAGCTTTGTTCAAGAGGAAGCTCTCTTTAACTCAATCGGTAGAATGGCAGACTAGGAAGCTTTATGGGTCACAGGTTCAATCTTCAGTGGAAGCGCACTACCCTCTTTCCTGTTACAATCTAAGCTGCATCCAATGTTACTGTTGACAAATAGTACTGCAGTAGCACAGCATTTCAGACAGTTTACATGCCCATTTACCTGTGGATTGACCTTTAACTCTTACCTGGTAATGAGAAGACCAAAGGACATTTATGACCGACCCGCCAACTAACACAGGAAGTGTTGTGGACCGGCATGTAAATGATGTTTCTTATTTCATATTTTTAGAAAAACACAGGATAAATAATGATGTTGAAAGGATGTTAGTCCATTGCATATGACTTTACCTGTATTTTACCAATGTTTTTACCTGCAGCTTCATATCTGTATCGGAAACTGTAAATGTTAACAAGATACAAGTAATCATATATGTATCATATTGTACAATATAAGGATTCGATACAATTTCCCTAACCTTTTTCTTTCCGTGGTGGACAGTCCAAATCGACTTTTCTTCTAAACCTGGGACAACTTCGAGGATTTCATAGTGGAAATCCTTTGCAGGATCTCTTGAAAAGAATGACCACATTCCGTGACCTTATCTTTATATTTGTTTGTCAATCCATTTCATCTTCAACTTAGTTTTTTCAGTCGCAGCATCCCATGTTTCGTGGTTTGTGTGGCGTGTCAAATTTGCGGATATGGTTTGCTGACATGCGCGCAGGATAATTTATGTCGTAAAAATAAAAATCTAATTTACTTTTCATAAAAACGATACTACTCTCATAAATTACCAAACATTATTTTTCAATGTAATAATGACCAATAAAATGAAACAGCTAGCTTCATCCAAAATCTTTTAATATATTTTTTAACGACATTGATTTGTTTATAATCTGTCTCACAGGGGTGCCCGTCTCACTGACACGCTTGTATCACACGACACAAAATGGCAGTCAACAGTTCTCTTGTTATGCGGATTGTGTCCGCCTCTGTGGCTGTATCTAATCGTGCCAGCCAAATTATCAGGGATGTCATGAAAAAGGGAGATTTAGGAATAATTGAAAAGGTATGTATGCTGCAATAGAAGGAGTGATATTTTGTTCAGAAGTAAAGGAATCCGGTGACCCAATTCAGAAGCATTCCCGTTATTGATCTGGGACGCGTTTCCACATGTTTATACTGAAGTAGACGAATCAGTTAACATTAATAGTATGACACTTGTTATTACCGTTTCCAGACACCTATGTTGTTTTTCATGACACATGTTTGTTAATTTAGTTTATTTAACGTTCAATATTTGCAGAATAATGTATTTTTTCGGTTTCCAATTAAATCAATAGTACTCTGTCACTTCATGAGAGATCTACTGTTTACTACAGAGACACTTTTAAGATTGAGAGATATGTAGATCATATGTATGTAATATAGATTCTTGTAAGGTGCTTTAACAGAAATGGGAAAACAGCTTTTATGCTCAATTCATTTATATTAGGCAAGCTATATATATATATGTATTTATGACGATTTTAAAGCAAAACAAAATGCATTAATTTCCAAGGATTCCATACCAACACCATGTCTGGTATTTACTTCTGAAATTTATATACATATCATCAACCTAGTTTGCCACAATTGCAAATCTTTTCTTATTTTTCAAAGTTTCAAATTTAACATATGACCATCTAATATTTCATGTAAACCTTGTATAAAACCCTGAATTTATGTATGGTACTGTAAAAATGCCATTTATTTTTCTTTGATTGCATGTCCTCTGTACCTTATACATAGAGGATTACTTTATCTAAATCTAAATGATATAGCTGTTTATATTAATATTGAGTTACTTTTGTGTGGTGATTAAAATCTGCCTATACACTATTTGACAAAATTGTACATCATGTTAGTAATCCTTCACTTCACTTTCGGAGAACAATGTTACAATACATTTATAGTTGATTTTACCTTTAATTTTGCAAAATGCTGAAATCTGTATTTGTTTTAGGAAAGGTTATTGATAAATAAATGTTGTTATAACTTGTGCCAAATCCTACTTGCTTGTGATTGCAATTAAATATATTTAACTCAATGCCTGGTTTGAATTGGTGAAACACTTTTTGGATATTAAACATAACCCTTGACTGAGTACATTGAATACTGCTTGTTTGTTTAGAAACAATTTGCAAAAGAAATAAAATATATGAACATAGATGCATGTCTCTAAACATCTTCGCTAGCCAAGTGTTTGCGTCATATACACTCCACTTACGAAATTTGAAGGCTCGGTAAACACAGCTATATCCGCCAAGTGTATACGAAGCGAACACTTGGCTAGTGAAGATGGTCTCTTAAATTTTCTTGATGATAAAAGTCTCTTAAATTTTCTTGATGATAAACGTAACAAACAGCTGTTTTGTCCATCTAAGACTAATCAGGGAGGCTAGGGTCCAAAAAGTTGGAAATTCTAATTGGTTAAAACTACTATTTGAAACATAAGGGGGTTCGTGTAAAACCTGTTCATTTTAAATTTCAAAATTTAGATGAGGACTGGTTAATAAATAGTATGTTTTGAACCCTCAAAAATTGTTAATGTTCATAGCTATTACTGCCATTGGTGAACCCTGGAGACAAAAACAAATTTATGCTAGACCTGAAACAAACTGACTAGACTGGTACAGAAATTGATTGCCCCATAGTCATTGTTGATGACAGAGAAAGTCTGGTCTGCTTTATTGAGATCTCCCTGTATATATCTGTAGTATGTCGTCAGGTTATCAGCTGGAGTCAGAAAGTAGGCTGGTCTAGATATGTACCTTTTAGATGAGAGCATATGAGTTCAGTTTGGGTCAGTATATGGATTGATCAGTTTAGGGATGAGCTATTCAAATGATGGCCTACATTCTGTCACTTGGGTACACCAGATATATAGATTATTTTTAGACGTGCATTTTTTTTTAGGCTTATGCTATCTATCGCATGAGGTTATTGTATAGAATACAAGATGGTGGACATTGTGGATGACAGGTTTTTCAGAGATGCCCATTACAGCTAATAGATGCTCTGTATGGTTATAATGCAATATTAAATGATACAATTAACAGCTGGAAAGTACAAGTATTAGATGATTGTATATTTTCATTGTGGTGGCTACTGGTAACAAATTAGCAGATGGCAGAGAACTGTCAGCCCACTTACATGCTTGTAAAAAATTGTCTCTGGTTTGAAAGCTTCCGAATTAAAATAAGATCTTCTGAAATTTAATAATAAATTTTGGATGTTTTATAAAACTGTTGTATGAAATGTTGCTGTTCTTAATGGAATAGCTAGTTTGTGTTTATTATGTGCTGTAGAGATGTGTAAACTACTGTTTAAAGCACTAGTACTGTGTATATAAATGTGACACTAGCCATCCTTCCTATCGTCTGCTGGATAACCAAACCACTCGGTAGTGAAGCGGACGTAAAATCACTCAAACAAACAAATCCTCCTTCCTGAATTGAGTCTGGAGCTCAAACTATTTTAAGTACATTTTCATGCCATATGTTGGTAATTATGAAAATTTGTCCGTCAACTTTTCCTTTAAACAGCTTCTTCTGAAGAATGGACAGGCCTAGGGTCATGATATTTTGGTGATAGCTTTGTTGGTTAGAGCCCAACAAAGTTTGAGAACGAAAATGACCTTAGCATACTTACAAGGTCACAGGGTTCAAAAGTGTCAAATACTTAAAGCAACTTCTTATGAAGAATTGAAAGGTATAGAATCTTAATATGTGGCTGGTAGCTTCGTTGGTTAGAGCCCAACAAAGTTTGAGAATGAAAACGAGCTTGACCTCCTTTCAAGGTCACAGGGGTCAAAATTGTCAATTACTTAAAACAACTTCTTCTGAAGAACTGAAAGGTATAGAATCTTAATATGTGGCTGGTAGCTTTGTAGTTAAAATCCTATCAAAGTTTGAGAACGAAAATGACCTTGACCTCCTTTTAAGGTCACATGGGTCAAATACTTAAAACGACATCTTCTGAAGAACTGAAAGGTACAGAATCTTAATATGTGGCTGGTAGCTTTGTAGTTAAAAGCCTATCAAAGTTTGAGAACAAAAATGACCTTGACCTCCTTTTAAGGTCACAGGGGTCAAATACTTAAAACGACTTCATCTGAAGAACTAAAAGGTATAGAATCTTAATATGTTGCTGGTAGATGCGTTCGTAAAATCCCAACAAAATTTGGGAATGAAAATGACCTTGACCCATCTGTCTGTCACGCTTCGTTTCTGTGCAATAACTGCAACAAATGTTAACCAATTTTCTTCAAACTTGGTACCAGGGTTAAATGCCTTAAGGGCTCGACCAAGTTTGATGACTTTATTTGGCGGAGTTATCGCCCCTTGCTATACATTATGTCTCAACAGCACGATACTCACATGTTTAAACCTAACCTCAATAATGTTTACCTACAATATGTCCTGCTAGCGGGGGATATAAATTCCACAAATTTGCTTGTTATAAATGAACAATCAACAGGTATGTCATTACACCTTTGAGAATATGTTTTTGTCTCAGCAAAAATGAACTTTGACTTCAGGGAAATTTTAAAAGAAAAAGGAAATGAGGAGGGACCAATTTTAGTTGTGAGAGTTCTAAGGTCCCATGTTCTCTGGTAAATGAGACAGAGTCTCCCATGGTGAACGGTGCGACTATAATACATGTCTGTTTCTTACAGGGCAAGAACGACTTCCAGACAGAAGCTGATAGGTCAGCTCAGAGATGTATTGTGGCCTCGCTCCACAAGCAGTTCCCCAAAGTGTCCATATATGGAGAAGAGGTAAGTTTTTACCAGAGCTGTAGATCTAGAATAAACCGTGGCGTTCAATATGTCAAATATCAAAATACTAGCAACAGGAGTGAAATATATTTGTTATTACTGAAGACACCATTGAATTTTCTATTTATTACATTTTTAAAGCATAAAACATGAAAAATCTTATGCGTTAAAAAAGGGCGGGAATCAGAAGCGTAATTATTAGCGCCATATTCTAATGATGTCACACTTGACAACAAGGCTGCGCGCCATTTTGAATGGCATTCTCAATGCAATTTCTGTGTTTTCTGCTATTTTCTGGTATTATTGCTTATAAAAATGTCATTACTGGTACATATATGTAAAGACTTAAGTCTGTCTACCAAACATTTACCATATAACAACCACTTATTTTACCGTCGCTTCATGTGAATCTGTGACAAAATATCGTTGCCTTTGAATGCAGCGAATAGAAGATACCGTTTTGATTGTTAAATACTTAAATACACTTTTGATATTTGTCACAGTGTGAAAGATATCAATTTTATCAAGTTGACAGAATCCGATATTTCACTGGCAAAAATGTAATAAATAAAACCATGTTATTTTTGCTAGATATCCAGCATAGTGTATTTCTGTAGATTCTAACCAAGGCAGTCGTTCTGTAGTTCTTCTATTCTATTCTTCTTTCTATACTTCTATTAATTATTTAACAGTATAGTGCATAGCCACTCTACAATTTTGTACAGTATCAAGTTTTCACAGTGTGTGTTTACTAATTAAGTAAAAAGAATAAAAGCTTCAGTTTTAGTTGGTTCGGAGGTATTGTGATAATAAGAGACAATAAATACAAGTATAGTTATAAATCGATTGAGAATCACTTGAGAATGGTATACCAAATCAAGCTGATTATCTAAAGAACCAGTTGTTTAAAAAACAACACAGGGATACACACGTGTATGTTAAAAACACAGGGATCAATGTCAAGTATAGAACAGGTCGTGTGACTATTCTTTGTCAGGATGTGAAATGACCAGTTCAGTTTATGTACAGTATTTGTATTTTCACTATCAGTACAACTAGGTTTAGACTTCTTTTTAAAGAAAAATATGTTTTCAATATTCTAAACCATGAGGATTTAAAAGCAAGCAACTGTTCAACAGTCAAGGGCCAGTCAAATTGATAGTCACTAGTACTGCATATCTATGTAAAATGCAGCTATTTTTATCAATAGACAGATCTAGAAAGTGCATGAAACTAATTTCAAAAAAAGTTCTGATTTTGTGATTTATGACTATCAGTATGATATTGGATTGTCTTCTCCCCCAGGATGAGACCTCTGTATCCAATACAACCAGACTACATAGATCTAGACCACACTTTGCTTCCCCCACAATCTCTAAGCTTCTCTCACCAAAACAGAACATCCTAACGGTAGGTTATATAATATAACTAATATCTACCCTCATTGCCTTGCCTTCCTTTCCATTCTTTTGGTCAGAAAAAGAAACAAAACGTTATTCATTAGCTTAGTATGATTGCATGACTGATGAAGCGTTTTACCCAACCGAGATTTGTTATGTATTTTACTAATATTGTCTCATGACTTTTAACAACATGAAAGGGAAAACAAAAATGACAAAATTTGGAGTAAAATTTATACCAACAGTAAATGTGTTTTTTTCAAGGAATTATAATTGAATTTTGATGAAACTTGTCTGCTGGCTACCCAGGCCATGTTCTCTAGCTAGATGCTCAGCCAAATTCATGAATATTTAATGAGGCTGTTGAGATCTGATCAATAGTCAAAGCAGGTGCAAGCAGCAGTAGACATCAACTTCCGTTAAATTCTTGTAATGTTGGACTGACAAAAGCACTGTATAACAAGAACAAGAATTGACTGAAGTTAAAATTAATTGCTATGCTTCTCGACCTATAAAGGTAATTATTCTGACTTTAATAATATTTATTGGCAGTTTTGTCGACTTTTGTATAAAATCAATTGGTTTTCCATTGATCATAGCAATAAACTCACCACTGAAATTGATTACTGGATAATCAATAACATCAGGAAATTAGGTTTTCACTTTCAGGGATTATGTAATAAATCTCCATGTTGATTTTTACAGCTTGACAGCTTCACTGACCCTTTTTCCTAACTACCCAATGTGCTTAGTTACCGATATGTCTCTATCTCTATTCTCTACGGGACATTGTAGATATTGTTTCTAGTACCTCTACATCTGCTCGTATCCAAACCAGTCCTTTGAACTTTTGCCAAACCATGCCAACAGCTGTTATTTATATCAGAGATGTGATTCTATCTCTTTTAAGAAGATTTCTTGTTGTCCTTATTTTTCGCATGGTTTTAAAAAGTGTAATTTAAATAAATAAGATTTCTAAAGGGAATAAGGTGTGTTCCTCCCTTTTAAGTTTGATTTATTCTCTTCTTCCGACCACCAATCACATCCCTGGCTTAATAGATGAAAGAAATAGCCAATCACGTCTTAAAATAATGTGTACAGGATTAAATTATGTTAACTGTTCATTTCAAACTAAATTTTACCACATTTAAAACTATGTTGAACTGCAGTTCAAAAATCATGTCAACACATATTTTATTTGATAACTTACTAAATCTGGAAATCATGGCCACTGACACAGCTACTTAATTAGGTTAGAAATATCAGTATACCTTACATTCAATGAAGGGGGAAACTTAACACTTTGTGCTGGTAAGTTGGTTAACTGGGCTGCTCAATGGATTTGCTGCACTGTTACAAACATTGAATGTTCCTCTGCAGTAATTTGTTTCTATATACAATGTATATATACAGAGGTGATGGTTGTTATATATATATGCTTCAGTTTAGCAGCACATCGTTTCCTCTCCGTCCTTCTGTGTACGTAACACCAATGTTTGTCAACGCCGTAGCGGCTTCATTCCTTGAGGGATCTTTTTATCAAACTTATACAATTACAAAGGACCATAATATCATGGAGAATTTCAAGTTTCATGGTTGTTAGTTCAAGGTTACTATTTTCAAAAAAATCCTTGTCAGTGCTCTAGCGGCGTTATTCCTTGAGGGATTTTGATCAAACTTCACACAATTACAAAGGACCATCATATCTCGGACAATTTCAAATTGCAGGGTTGTTGGGTCAAGGTCACCGTTACTACTTTTAGAAAATCCTTGTCAGCGCTCTAGTGGCTTCATTACTTGAGGGATTTGGATCAAACTTCACACATTTACGAAGGACCATAATATCCTTGACAAGTTCGAATTTTAGGGTTGTTGGGTCAAGGTCACTGTTACTTTTTGTTTTAGAAAATTCATTGTCAGTGCTCTAGCTGCTTAATTCCATCAGATTTTGATCAAACTTCACACAATTACAAAGGACAATAATATCTCGGACAAGTTCGAGTTCCAGGGTTGTCGGGTCAAGGTCAACATTACCATTTTTTAGAAAATCCATTGTTAGCGCTCTAGTGGCTTCATTCCTTGTAGTTTATTATTTATAATAAACTTTGTTTGTAAACAGCCATTTGTTTATATGTCATGTGCAACATTGTTGATTTTTAAGTATTAAGGTGTGTTAGAGATACATGTGGATAAATATCATATACATATATATATATATTATCTTAGTACCATCATGTGTACCAAAATTTAGGTATAAGTAATGCTGTCAGTTTATATTTATAGATACAGAACAAAGAACATAGCTCAACAGTCTCCTACACTCATCTTAAATGTGATAATATGGTAATAATTAGATTAGGGATGATGCTGATTGGCTTAAGTTATTACTAGGCATGTCAAGGTTAATTACCATTGGTCAAGCGGTTAGCCACGCATAATTAATGAGATGACCAACAAAGGGCAGCGTCACCCCGCACTGTTTTAAGAAACTATCGGAGCGTGTGGACTCATTTTACATCAGCTTACCGCCATCCACCCCAACCTCCACCTTATAATTATTACAGTGTATACATGTATACTGCAGCATCAGTTTCTTGAGTACATTATTTACATACATCTGCAAGTGTACCAAGGAGTACAATATGATAAGTAAACGGAGCAATTCGTGTTGTTACATGTAATTTTATTGAATGATGAAAGAGCAGACACAAGTCGCATAGAGTGAAGTCATATACAAATGTACATGTACTTATATTTATATATATATATTTATTCAAATGTTATAATATTGGGGCTATATCATGGAAGGGATATAGGGAATACAGATCAGAGGTATTAACTATGGGAGGTACAGGGCCCACTTGTATAAAACATCTCAAAGTTAAGGAAAATCTCAAGCAATGTATTGTCTATGGGAAATCTTAGACTTGAGGAAATCTCAAGAGTTGAGATGTTTTATACAAGTGGGCCCAGGAGGGACACAACACATATGTTGTTGTATTCAGCCGGGAGGTACACAACACATATGTTGTTGTATTCAGCCCCCATGTTAATATACAGTTATACCTACATAATAAGGTGCCTATAAGTTATAATTAGGTATCCTATAGATCCAGGATTTTCCAACAATGATGAATCCTCTCATGGGATTGGTACAACATGGGCTAACGGGGCCCATGTGTCCGATCCAGGATTCAGGAAATATCCTCTCATGGGATCTATATCCAGAAAATTAGATCTAGATATCATGCAGTCCCAGGAATTTCCTAAACCGATATCCTCTCATGGGATCCAGGTATATGAGCTACTCATCATGTCTAGATCCAGGATTGTCAGAAATATCCTCTCATTGGGGTCCGTTTTTTGATAATGGGAAATCTCATCCAGCCGCTGGAACCAGGGGCAACCGTTTCGCTCCTGGGGGGATATATTGGCAGTAATCCTGGGACAAGGGGTAAAAGTTCACTCCTGGTAGGATAACGTCAGTAATCCGTGAGATTTCCATAGCTTATATATGTGTAGTATGATATAGCCCCCAAAGCCAAACCTAAATGTAGATCATCATGAAATGTATATATTTGTGTATTGTTTATTTCTTCTGTTATGTGTATAAACATGTGTGTGCTGATTTATAAGACATATACATGTACAACAATGTTGGTCATGATAACATTGCATACCTATACAGTTAATAAATAGCATTTATTAAACTGTATCATATTGTTCTGGTTGTTTATAAATTGAAGGATTTTGATCAAACTTCACACAATTACAAAGGACCATAATATCTCGGACAAGTTTGAGTTTCAGGGTTCTAGAGTTGAGGTCAAGGCCCCCGTTACTATTAATACAAAATCCTGGACAAGTTGAAGCCAGTGATGGACTGATGATCGATATATAATAATCAAACATTGATCGATTTGTTCTGAAATGTAGAATAGAAAAATTACAGTAAAATCAGTTACAAGCTTATTGTATACTTTTCATTTTCCCAAATTGTTACCAAAGGGCACCATTTTTAGCTCACCTGGTCCAAAGGACCTAGGTGAGCTTATATAATTATGCCATACCGTGGCGTCCGTCCGTCAACAATTTCTTTTAACGACTTCTTGTTCTTAACCACTGATTGGAATTTAACTAAATTTGACTGGAAGCATCCCTAGGTGGTGGGGATTCAAAAATGTACAAATGGTGGGGCTGAGGGGCGTGGCTAAAAGGGGGCAATTTGGCTTTATTGCTTTAAGCGGCTTCTTCTCTGGAACTAAGAGATGGATATCAACCATATTTGACTTGAAGCATCCCTAGGTGGTGGAGATTCAAAATTGTTCAAATGGTGGGGCTGACCCCCCAGGGGGCTTATGGCGGGGCCAAAATGGTGCAGTTTGGCTTTATTGCTATAAACAACTTCTTCTGTAGAACTGTGCCTTGGATATAAATCATATTTGGTCGGAAGCATTCATGGGAGGCAGGGGTTCAAAATTGTACAAACAGTGGGGCTCACCCCCCCGGGATAAGGGGTGGGGCCAAAAAAGTTTATTACTTGGAAATGGTTGAGATCCCCACCATATAACCATATATACAATTGCTGAGTATAAAGAGAAGAATGCACATTTGCTTCCAGGATGGCCCTAGGGTCTGGCCCCACCCTTGGAGACATAGTCCCGGGGCCATAAGTTTGAAACGGTTAAGATCCCCACCCCAAAACTACATATACAAATGCTGGGCATAAAGAGACGAATGCAGTCATGATATTAGAATAGACCCTGGGGTCTGACCGAACCCCTAGGGAGCTAGTTTCTTAGTCACAGCTTGGAAACAGTTGAGATTCCCACCCTATAACCATATATACAATTGCTGAGTATTAAGTGATGAATGCACATATGCTTCCAGGATGGCCTTGGGGACTACCCCACCCTTGAATTCTTAATCCCTGGGTCATAACTGCGAAATGGTTTAGATCCCCACCCCAAAATTATATATACAATTGTTGCATGGCATAAAGAGACGAATGCAGTCATGATATTAGAATTGACCCCAGAGTCTGCCCCACCCTTGCAGACTTAACCCCTGGGTCATAACTTTGAAAGGGTTGAGATCCCCACCCCAAAACTAGATATACAAATGCTAGGCAAAAAGGGACAAATGCAGTCATGATATTAGAATTGATCCTGGGTTCTGGCCAAAACCCTAGGGACCTAGTTTCTGGATCACAGCTTGGAAACAGTTGAGATCCCCACCCCATAACCATACGTAAAATTGCTGGGCATGAAAAGTCTAATACAGATATGCTACAAGGATTGGCCTTGGGGTTTGGCATATTCCCTTGAATCTCATTTGGAGAATATTTTGCAATGATTGCTTAGATATCCAGGTGAGCGATACAGGCCCTCTGGGCCTCTTGTTATAAATCATTACAGTGTAATAGCTAGTGGGGGCTGGAAAGGGACATGTATTGCTTTAGCAATACTCAGTATGCTTGTTTGCATAAATTATTATAAAAAATAATTACTATATAATTACTATATTTCAGCTGAATTTATCCTTATCTGACCTCCAGATTCTGCAGCGGTAGATCAAGGATCCAAACACATACCGTATTTACCGGTATCTAGGAAGATTTCCGAGACAGATCAATTGATGGGGTTTCCATATGATAAAAATGTTGAAAATACTTATTTTAGAGGCAATTGATGTGACTATAAACTGGGAAATGGGTGCATAGTGTTTGAAAATTCCTGAAGATCCCTGCAACTTCCCGTGGATTTGCCTCTTATACTGATATTGTGTTCTAAAGTAGTGCAAGCAATTATTGAATGATATATAGTTATCACTAAGTGTTCCGATAATCGATTATAATCGAAATAAATTATACAACCAATTCAAATTAACCGATTGATAGATTCTATAATCAATTAATCGGTTTAAATGTTGCATGCTGTTTTCTGTTGATATCTGTCAAATTTACTCTTATATTAGTCCAATTCTTAAGTACATGTAGTAGGTTAATACCAATAGTGTAATAGCAAAAGAGACTCAAATGGATATACCAAGTCAGCCTTTGATTTTACATGGCAGAAGTATGCTGCGAATCCCAATTCTAAGTGGTATACCATCATAATTACACATATCTCAAATACATTTACCAGAATTTGGATGTTCCGATAACAATCCTTAATTGTTCATTACCGATTCTGAAAAGCGATTATGATTACCGATTCCGATTCCCAACACTAGTTCATAATCATTGTATTTTTTTCATACATCAGAATGCTGAGTATCTACCATTGTTACAGGAGAATGAGATGAATGCTAAATTACATATATCTACATACATTGGTTAATTGTGTAAATACCAATATATTTGTAAAATATGTAAGAAAACAATTGTGTTGTGTTTTAATAGGATCTAGGACCAGAAAAGATTCCAGCAGATCTCATTGAGCTTGGATTTACTGAGGAGGTGCTGAAACATAAATGTCCAAAATTCCTAGAAGATGTTACAGATGATCAGGTAATGTTTTCAATAGTTAAAATTAGTTTGTTACTAGTATATCATCTGATCTTTTTGAAAGGAAACTGAAATCAATAGCTGTTGACTTGTCTTGATTATATATGTTACCTAAGTACAGGTGCACCGACACATTGTTAGAACCAATACAGTTAGCTAATGCAGGGATTTTTGTGTGTGTACTACAGTTGTTTTGTTTATACACATAATACATAAGTAAACAGACTATGTTCAAAAGTTCCATGGAAAAGTGTTGTTTTATTTGAAAATAACTAGCTGTGCAATTGGCTTATTAAAGATGATCTGATATGTTTTATACTGCATATATATTTCTTTCATTGTTTGCCTTGTCGATATGTATACGCAAGGTAGTCGAAATATATTTCTGGTTTGTTGCAATTATATTTATCCATTTTATGTTCTTATACAAGGTTGTGATATGGGTAGATCCTCTGGATGGAACAGCTGAGTACACTCAAGGTAAAATATGCAGTCATGCGCTACATGTTGAGGGTTACATTGATAATCCATATACCATGTAAGATATTGTAACAGGAAAGAGAGGAGTGTCCTACAATTGCAGTCAAACCAGCAACCCCCAGCTTCCCAGTCGACTGCTCTTCCAATTAGGGGTTATTATATACAATAAACTGTCCCTCCCCCTCTTTTATATGTGTTCAGACAGCCTCAAACACGATTACAGCCAAGGTTCTAACTGTCACCACAAAATTGAGGACGGACACTTATAAGATCAGTGAGAGTTGTGGTCCTCCACTGGGTTCAAACTGGAGCCCTCAGCTTCCCAGTGCACTTCTCTAAAAATTCAGCTTAAGGGAATTCCTTCTATTGCTAATTTACAAGGCAACCATGATCCTTTGTACGATCAAAACTTACCACAGACAATAATATTGTGCTACAATATTTAATTTGTTTATAGATGCCATGGCTGAATTTATAAAGATTTAATTTATCATGATAATTTTTACTACAACATACAACCGGACACTGAGGTTAAATTGTATGTCTATCAATCACGAGTTTGAAAGTAAACTTGAAAATTATATTTCTGAAATTGTCTAGGTTGAATGTTATTTCAGGTTTTCTGGACCATGTGACTGTACTGATTGGCATCGCTGTTAAGGGGCATGCTGTGGGCGGAGTAATAAATCAACCGTTTTATAACTACCAGGACAAAGACAAGGAGATGGGTCGATGTATCTGGGGAGTGTGTGAAGTAGGTGAGTCACCTTCAACATATCTACAACATTACTTGTAGCATTGGAAACAGGTTTTTTTTACTGTTTTTTCTGTCCTTGATTGAGAGGGTGGATTCAAAACCCTCTTTCAGAGGTAGAGAGCAAGTAGTTGTTTAATGATTACTTGTTAACTCACCTGGCCAGAAGGGCCAAATTCGTCTGACCGTCCGTCCTCCAGCGTCAATATCTTATTTTAAACAACTTCTTCTGAATAACCAAAGCGCCCAGGGTGATGATATTTGACCAGCTGGGATAAAGGGCTACCAAGTTTGTTCAAATGAATGACCTTCACTTATAAGCTAACCTGACAGAAGGGCATGTGAGCTTATGCTATGGTGCGTCGTCTATCGTCCGTCCGTCCGTCATCAACTTTTTACTTTAAACAACTTCTTCTCAGTAACCAAAAAGCCTAGGATGATGATGTTTGACCAATTGCATGCTGACCTTGACCTATGTTCAAGGTCACATGGGTCAAATTTGTTTAAAATCTTTAAACGATTTCTTCTGAATAACCATGAGGCCCAGTATGTTGATATTTAGCCAGTAGCATGTTTTTATGAAGGGCTATCAAGCTTTTTCATATGAATTATCTTGACCCACTTTCAAGGTCACATTTGGTCAAATATGTATAAGCATTTGAATAACCTAATTTCAGTAAACAAAAGGATAGGGTGGTGATATTTATCAAGTTGCATCCTGAGATGAAGGGCTATAAAATTTGTTCAACATAATGACCTTGTTCAACTTTTAAGGTCACGGGGATAAAATGTTTTGAAATCTTTAAACAGGTTCTTTTGTTTGCTTTTTAATCATAAATACTTATATTTTGCTTGTAGCTTTATTTTAGATCACTTTTAAGGTTATAAGTGTGAGATTTATACCAGGTGAGCGATGCGGGCCCATTGGGTCTCTTGTTTTTTTTATCATAATGATGTAAATATAACCTTAATTTTGTTAACTGCTGCGAACATAACAGATGTTTATATTGCTAAAATGTGAGTTCATTATGATACAAAAATCTTTCATTGTTTCATCCACAGGAGCCTTTGGGTTTACCAGGGAGGTACTGCCTGAGAAACAGTTGATTTTGACAACATCTAGATCTCACTCCAACAGAATGGTGACAGAGACAATTGAGGCTTTCGAACCAACAGAAGTTATCAGAGTGGGCGGGGCTGGTCATAAGGTATAAATAAATCATGCTGAATGGTTGGCCTAATAAACTCAAACGGGGGGTCGAATGTTTCAATCTCACAGAAGTTGTCGGAAGGATAAGACCTGTCATATAGTATAAATCAGGCAGAATGTGTTGTGCTAGTATAGTCAAGGTTGTGGGGTTTTGAGGAGGCTCTCAATCTAACAGAGGTTGTCAAAGTGAGCGGAGCCAGTCATAAGGTATAAATCAGGCAGAATGTGTTGTGCTAGTATAGTCAAGGATGTGGGGTTTTGAGGAGGCTCTCACCCTAACAGAGGTTGTCAAAGTGAGCGGAGCCCCTCATAAGGTATAAATCAGGTGGAATGGGTTGGCCTATTATAGTCAAGGTTGTGGGGTTTTGAGAAGGCTCTCAACCTAACAGAGGTTGTCAAATTGAGCAGAGCCAGTCATAAGGTATAAATCAGGCGGAATGTGTTGGGCTAGCATAGTCAAGGTTGTGGGGTTTTGAGAAGGCTCTCAACCTAACAGAGGTTTTCAAAGTGAGCGAAGCCAGTCATAAGGTATAAATCAGGCAGAATGGGTTGGGCTAGTATAGGCAAGGTTGTGAGGTTTTGAGGAGGCTCTCAATCTAACAGAGGTTGTCAAAGTGAGCGAAGCCAGTCATAAGGTATAAATCAGGTGGAATGGATTGGGCTAGTATAGTCAAGGATGTGAGGTTTTGAGGATGCTCTCAACCTAACAGAGGTTTGTCAAAGTGAGCGGAGCCAGTCATACGGTATAAATCAGGTGGAATGGGTTGGGCTAGAATAGTCAAGGTTGTGGGGTTTTGAGAAGGCTCTCAACCTAACAGAGGTTTTCAAAGTGAGCGAAGCCAGTCATAAGGTATAAATCAGGCGGAATGTGTTGGGCTAGAATAGTCAAGGTTGTGGGGTTTTGAGAAGGCTCTCAACCTAACAGAGGTTGTCAAAGAGAGCGGAGCCAGTCATAAGGTATAAATCAGGTGGAATGGATTGGGCTAGTATAGTCAAGGTTGTGAGGTTTTGAGGAGGCTCTCAACCTAACAGAGGTTGTCAAGTGAGCGGAGCCAGTCATAAGGTATAAGTCAGGCGGGATGGGTTGGGCTATTATAGTCAAGGATGTGGGGTTTTGAGGAGGCTCTCACCCTAACAGAGGTTGTCAAAGTGAGCGAAGCCAGTCATAAGGTATAAATCAGGCAGAATGGGTTGGGCTAGTATAGGCAAGGTTGTGAGGTTTTGAGGAGGCTCTCAACCTAACAGAGCTTGTCAAAGTGAGCGGAGCCAGTCATAAAGTATAAATCAGGCAAGATGGGTTGGGCTAGTTGTATAGTCAAAGGATCCCAGAGGTGAGTGGCTCAACCCAACAGAAGTTGTCATTGGGTTGGGGTTTTCATAAAGTATGAATCAGGCTAAATAGATTGGGCTCATATAGCCATAGGAGGTGAGGGGCTAACCCCCAAAGAAGTTGTCAGAGTGGGTGATGCCTGTGGTATAAAGGTAAAAAAAAAATCGGAATGAATTTGGCTTACAAATGTACGATCAAAGGAGGTGAAGCTTTTAATCTCACATAAGTTGTCTGAGATGCAAAGCTGATCATAAGGTATAAATCAGGCCGAATAGATGGGCTAATCAACCTAACAGAGGTTGTCAAATTGAGCAGAGCCAGTCATAAGGTATAAATCAGGCAGAATGGGTTGGGCTAGTATAGGCAAGGTTGTGAGGTTTTGAGGAGGCTCTCAACCTAACAGGGTGTCAAAGTGAGCGGAGCCAGTCATAAGGTATAAATCAGGCAAGATGGGTTGGGCTAGTTGTATAGTCAAAGGATCCCAGAGGTGAGGGGCTCAACCCAACAGAAGTTGTCATTGGGTTGGGCTTTTCATAAAGTATGAATCAGGCTAAATAGATTGGGCTCATATAGCTATAGGAGGTGAGGGGCTAACCCCCAAAGAAGTTGTCAGAGTGGGTGATGCCTGTGGTATAAAGGTAAAAAAAAAATCGGAATGAATTTGGCTTACAAATGTACGATCAAAGGAGGTGAAGCTTTTAATCTCACATAAGTTGTCTGAGATGCAAAGCTGATCATAAGGTATAAATCAGGCCGAATAGATGGGCTAATATTGTCAAACAAGTGAGGCTCTCAACCCCACATGATTTCAAGTTGTCAGAATGTTGATGTGGTCACTTATAAGGCCTAAATAAGTAGCAGCTGAATGGGCAGGGCAGAACATGAAAGGTGGTAATTGAACTAAAAACATCAGATATAATATGATTGAAAAGTTAATATTAATTCAAAGTTGTGACTGAAGATAAAGTTTTGATTTTTTTTAATTGTACACTATTTTCTGATTGCCTTTAGGTACTGCTGTTGATAGAAGGTAAGGTCCACGCATATATATTTGCAACTCCAGGTTGTAAGAAATGGGACACATGTGCCCCAGAAGCTATCCTGCACGCTGTTGGGGGTACACTAACAGACATGTTTGGTATTACAATGTCATATGGACCAAAAGTTAAACGTTTGAATGCCGGCGGGGTGCTGGCCACAACGTCCAACCATAAGTTCTTTGTAAGCAAGGTTCCGGAACATGTCCTAGAGAATTTGGAGAAAAGCGAATCTCCAGAGCCCTTACCTGATGGTGTATGTCTAAGGGGGGATAACAAGAGCTGCAGTGGAGAAGAGAGAGAAGAACAGACAGTACAGCAGGAGGAAGAAGAGCAAGAACAGCAAGTAGAGGAGCCAAGTAGTAGTCCAGAAGGAAACAAATCTCCGTCCAGTGATACTGGGTCGGTTCAGGACACCAAATTGTAGTTAGCTATAGATAAATCAGAGATATAATCTTACATAACTTACAAAATAGCTGTGATCAATTCTTACCTTGTTCTCGCAGTAGTATTTGTACCTGGCTTCACAGTGATACTGGGTCTGTTCAGGACACCAAATTGTAGTTAGCTATAGATAAATCAGAGATACAATCTTACATAACTTACAAAATAGCTGTGATCAATTCTTACCCTGTTCTCGCAGTAGTATTTGTACCTGGCTTCACAGTGATACTGGGTCAGTTCAGGACACCAAACTGTAGTTAGCTATAGATAAATCAGAGATACAATCTTATATAACCTACAAAATAGCTGTGATCAATTCTTACCCTGTTCTCGCAGTAGTATTTGTACCTGGCTTCCCAAAATATCTTATCTAGGATTTCTTTCCTTTACTTGAACTTTCAGTTAAGAGAGTATTTGTTATGTTTTGGAAAATATTTTTATTAATTTAAGCTAAAAGAAATGTTTGTGAAACAAGTACCAGATCTCATTTCTTTCCATAAGAAATTGTTAATTTATTGTCATCAATTGTTTATTGGGCTGTAGACAGTGCCTACATTTAAACCAGTTGCTCTTTAACTGAACTTGTATCATATATGTCATATATCTTGTATAAAAATATGAAATGAGTATGTGTGTAAAGGGTTAACATAGTACTGGTTTATAGTTCAGGAGTGTAAACCTGATGAGCTTACGATCTAGTTATAATGCAAGTTTTACCTCATATCTTTTGCAAAATTTTGTAATTCAGAATTAAATGTGTATGTATAGGGGTTTGTTATGATCGTCCATGAAGCTAACCATACTTTGAACAATTTGGCCCTGAGGATAGACTTTTTTAACTGTGTGTTAGACACTGGAAATATTAAGGACTGTACTATTCCGTCTTTGCGTATTGCAGAGTTATCTTCTCTTGGGAGCAGGTATTGATTGTTACGTCACTTGTTTGTGAGAGTAACGTCATCAATTTTTGAGAAAACGACGTAATTTTCTCGCACAAACCAATGACGTAACAATCAATTCCTGCTCCCAAGAGAAGATAACTCTTCAATACGCAAAGACAGAATATATATGTTAAACTGAAAGAAAAAAATCATACAATTTTGGTAATGGAAACTCTTTTTACCAGTTGGTATTATCATTGACACAAATGTCCTATCACTTGTAGATCAGCTATGTACTAATAAAATATTTAAAGTATATTTACCAGTCTTAATGGTGGTTTCTGTTCATTGCATATAGAGCTGCCATTTTTTGTGTTCAGATGTAGAGGAAGCGACTGTAGAGTGGGTTGTTGTTTCGTTACATCTTTGGTACCAATACATACACTTAACATAGGTAATAAGATAATGGGTAGCTTGTTTGTGAACAAATTCTACTGAATAAAAGCAGTATATGAACAATTCCATATCATACAGTATGAATATAATGAATTATACTTCTGAGTTCTGTGTTGTAAAACCATTAAAGCAATAACAGAAACCTACCTTGTATAGTAAGTTAAATGGGATAAGATTCTGACGAAGATATTGTAACTTTTGTCTTTGTTACTATTTCCAGTATGCTACATACTGGTAGGTTTTGTCATCTTTTATAAAATGTTTAGGTAAGGGTTTACATTTTGTCTTCTTTTGCTCAGAAGTTAGGTGTGTTATTTAAAAAGAGTATAGTTATTTCAATGAATCATTACTGTTAAGAATATTAGTCATAAAATCATCTTAGACTCAATTTATAATTTTGTATGGGTTTGGCCATGTTTACAAAATCATGCATCCAATTAATTTCATCTGTTCAAGTTTTGATTTACCATATTTGCCGTAATAAGCGCCCCTCCCCCTATAAGCACCAACCCTATTTTTATACCCACCCTAATATAGTATTGCTCTCATGTCCAGTCCCATCCCGTCCAGTCAAACATCAAACACATTTCACATGGTGACAGGGGCATACATGTCTTACAGACATTTTCTAGTTCAAAAGGAACTGAAATTATAAAGACCCATCTCCCCTCTACAATACTTACATTTTAACTGTTTCACCCCTGAAGACACATTTGAACTCTTCCAATTCAAAGGTTGGAATAGTTCATTATGAAATTTCAGGGGTGAATGAGTTAAAGCAGAAGGCTTCCTGTGAAGTGGAATTGCTTTCCTAATCTCAAGCCACACTGGATGGTTTGGTCTAAAATGTGATATCAATGGTTGAAGCTGCACAACTTTTTCTATCATACCTCACATTTTATTTTCCTGATAAGCCTGCCCCTTGAAGCCAATTTTTGAAGTGCCCTGACCATGGGCTCTAATTACAGGGATTACAGTACCTGTACAATTATGTGTCTTTAATTCATATTGTTCGTTAACATATGCTTTTCTTAACATTCCAGTCATATCGTATATGGAAACTAACGGGAGGAAATATTGTCAACACATTGTCTCAGTATAGCCTATATATTATACTACATATGTAGTAACAATCACATTTGTCTTATTAATTTACTATTATCGTGGGTAGCTTAATTGCATAAAGCAATGTCTTCCATCTAGAACCACCATTGTTATTTATGTGATTCTCACTTGATTTGGTTACATAAACAAGCTTACTTACATTTCTCATCGTTGGAGTGGAACAACAAACTTTGCCATGCAAGTTGTTATAACGTCTTACCAGTGTAGAATGTATGTTGTAGAACTCAACTATACAACCATGGAGGCTAAAAAGAGAGCAGCTATATATGTGCTTGTGTGTCATTTAAAAGGAACACTTGCATACTTATGCATGAAAATGAAATGTTAAGCTTTTCTGTTGTTTATCATGTGAAAGATTACAACCTATACTAACCAGAAAAATCTTTGTATTGTTTTGCAGAATGTATTACATTATATTGACAATTTTTTTTTAGTTTGTTTACAAATTTTAGTCATTGGTAAAAAGCCACACTTACGATTTTATCTTTTAGTCGTGCATTTCATCACAAGACTTGAATTCCTGCTCAGATCAAATTATTCCTTATAGAATTGCCTTTAATATGATTCTGCTGATGAATGAATTTGGTGGTGCTTCATGTATGTTTTGTATGAAATATTTGTACGTCACTGAAACAGATTGTCAAATATTATCTCAGATCACCAAAATAAATCTTCAAATGTTCTGTGAAAGTTCTTTTTATGCAGGTTGAATGTGTCACTAGTGTGTACAATGTTTATTTAATTATATACATGTATTTTTGTTTTACATATACTTTGGTATCTAATTATTGAAATAGTAAAGCAATGAACAGCTTAGAGGAGGAACATTTGGCCAAGGAATGACAACATGATTGGATTATGTTGATAATAACATGTATTATCAGAAATTGAAAATGCACTTCATATTTTCACTTGATCAAATATATCAACAGAAAAAAAAATATCAAAAAATGATATCCACCAGAAAAATGTATGTTTACAGTCGTAATTGGTTGAAGGTATACGAATCCAATGACTGTAGAAGTAACTAGGTCAGCTAAGACCCAGAACATAAGACTGTAAGCTGGAACAAAGCAATGTTTCATTGAAGTGTGATTCAAAATTTCCTAGTCTGAAATAGTAAAGTTTATCTATTTAGATGTATGCAATAAATAAAGGTGAAAATAATTACTTTTTATTTTTTTTAACACTTTCTATAGCTAATGAAGATATTTTTTTTTGTTATAATTGTTATTTGAAAATTAAAAAAATGTTGGTTAAGTAAATGCTATTTGGATTTTATCCACAGTCTGTCCATTTGTCATTCTGATTAATGAAACAAAAATATTGCTATCCATGTTAATAGGGCTACATTCGCGTATTCCCGTTGAAACGGTACGTGTGGGGCAGAAATTTTCCATGATAAATGAACGCACTTGGACCGTTCTATAAGCAGAGCTAAAAATGCAGTTTAGGAGTATAAAAACAAATGTATCAAGAATAGTATGCCCTGCTCTCACGCGTCCACTGAATTACCTAACGTATCTTAAAAACTACATGTGGCTTGACATTGTTTAAGAAAGAAATAACGCAAACTGGCAATAGTCAGCATTTTAGTTTCGGCCAGATATGTCTGGACCCCTCAATCTTAATGTGCCAAATTTTCCTGAGGTCAGCCTCGGTTCAGATCTGTACCTGTCGTTTTCTTTACATGTTCAATCGGTTCAACCATTTCAACCGGATACGCGAATGTACCCTAGGTGTTTGTTATATATTAGGTAGCTTTTAAGTTATTCAAATTATTAACACTTTATTTCAAACTAATGCAATCCCATAGTGAAGTGCTAGCCACTATGTCATTCTACAATGTCTGTCTATATATTTACATATGTGTAATATTTATAGTTAGGCTAAACGATTTCATCTGTAATAATTTAATTTAATTTCAGGTATAATTAAATGCATTTTGATAATCTCACCAATTATTATATATTCATTTTACTTTGAGCAAGAATTCATTGGAATCATAAGGCGTCACTGCTATCCTTTAACATCATGTACATGTATCAAAGACTGTTAACAGAGTGTATAGCACATCATGTACATGTATCAAAGACTGTTAACTGAGTGTATAGCACAAATATTATGGGGTAAAACATTCTTGGTTTTGTTTTTGGGAACAAACTAGGGGAAGGGGGTAATACATTTTGTGCAACAACATTGTTAGCCAATGATCCTTGCTTAATCCCTAGTATAAGGTCAAAAGATTAACTGCGTTTATATTTTACACATTTTTTTGTGAAAACATATCGGCTATAATTCTATCACAAAAATAAAGCAATATGGAAAGAGACCACTGCCATTTTTTCTTCTACAAGACTTAGTGTACTATATTTTGGCCCAGTCATATTACCACCCGTCACGAAAAAAATGTGTTTGCATCATACTTGCCAACTTTTTGAAATTTCCATGGGGGAGATAACCCATGTTAAGAATCGTTTACCCCAGGGGAAAATAACACTTTAAAATTGCATTGTTTGAGCTGCTCTTTCAGGTGAAATCATCAAATCTTAGAAAGAAGAAATAGTTTATTGTAAAAGCTAAATTTAGGGTCCAAAATCGGGAGTCTCACTCATTAATAGGGAGAGATGGCAAGTATGCGGCATATTTGCATACCACACCTTCATACTCTGTTTCATGGTTTTAATTAAAGTAAACAAATGCATTTAAATCATTCCATATAATTTCATTCAATACACCAGAATCAAAAAAACAGATTAAATTGGTGTTTTTTTTTGTAATTTATTGCATAATTATCATAAAAAGTTTCGCATAGTATATCTATATATCATGTGTACCTCATATATTCAGCTCTGACTCATCTTATTTGAAGATAAAATGTTTAGAAACTTCA